GTCTTCTATTTCAAGGTAGTTTTGGAGTATTATGGTCATGGGATATTGAGGAACAATTGTGCTTTTCCTTTCTGTAAGAAAAATCCATGAAAAACTGTGAAAATTGAAATACCCAGTAGGCTGCAGGATAAAGAGGAGGTACTGCTGTGCAAAGCCTTATAAAGCCTGAGGCTGTCAATTCTGAGTGCTCAGAGAGAAGAGCAAGATGAAATTATCTCTTGGCCTTAAGCAATTAGTTTAGGTAAGAATGATGAGAGCTGTTTTCAGGCAGGTATATTTGTTGACAGAAAGAGTTATAGAATCACTGAGTCACAGAATCATTGAGATGGGAAGGGACCCTGGAAGCCATCTGCCCAAGCCCCTGATCAAGAATGGTCACCTAGAGCTGTTTGCTCAGAACTGTGTTCAGACAGCTTTTGATTATTCCAAGGATGTAGATCCACAGCTTCTTCATGCACACTGTGCCTGTGTTTGGTCACCCTCAAAAATGAAAAGTTTCCTGATGATGATAGAAATTCCTGTTCTGCTTGTGTCCATTGCCTCTTGTCTTGTCACTGGACACTCTCCCTTCAAGTATTTATACACAAAGATGAGATCCTCCAAGCATTCTCTCCTCCAGGCTAGACAGCCCAGCTTTCTCAGCTTTTCCTCAATGGAGAGATTAAATATCTTGGTGTCCCTCATCATGTCAGTAGCTACCTCAGCAGCCATAGGTGCATCCCAGAGCCCATGGACTTATATCTCTCCTTGTACATTTTTTTCCCCTCAGGCTTACATTCCCTGTGCCTCTTTATCTAAAGTCAGCTTTCCAGGCATCTTTGACTTTATTCTGCTCTGTCTGCATCTCTTGCATGGGCATCTAGGCTTAGAAATAACCTCTAGCAAAAATGAATTTGCCCTCATAATTCAGACTTCAGACAGATCTTGCACTTCTCTTTGGCTTGGGTCATGGCACATGCTTCCTCTAATACGGAGACCAGCATGTTTAATAGAAGAGTTTGACTGTTTATTACAAAAATCATAAATAAAAAATGGCTTTTAAGCCTCACTGACTCAGGTGACAATTCATCTACCACATAGTGCTTCTCCTCTTTTATGCAGTTATGATAGTTGTTCATAAAAGAACTCATTTTCACAGTACCATGAAAGATGAATCTGTAGGACAGTTATTTATTTTGTGGTGTCTTTTTTTTTGATAGCCTTGTGAAAGAAACAGTGAAACAAGCTACATTAATAATGGCTTGTCATGAAGGACAAGTAGTATAGCATGAAAAGGTATCATTGGTGACAAATACAAAAATTTTAAAAATTAAATTTAAGCTTAAAAAAAGAGAAATTATTTAAAAAAAAAAAGTTGTAGTGCTTCTGGATTTTCTACCTTTAAGGTCTGTGTCCTCAGACTCAATACACATTTATTTATATATATGCAGTAATGTAATGGCTCAGAATAACATTTCCTTCTTTTTTTTTTTTTTTTTTAAGGTTTTAGCCAAGATCTGTATTTGTATTATATATTTGTATCAGTCAAGGGGCACAACAGCATTAATCAAGCATCACTAACCTGAAGCAGGAAGACCATGCTGGCCTCTCTAAATGCAAGCACTGTCATGTTACTGTCTAACACAGCACTTTAGATAACAGAATGCTGGGCTAGACATTTTCAAATTCATCTATATAAAAATAAAAGTGTTCTGTTCTTATAAAGTTAAACAACTTCTTTACAATTATATCTAGTATAGTGGTTTGTTGGGCACAGTTAAATCATTTCTCATCATCCTCATTCAAAACTGATTACTGTAGCAATCTCATGCACATATTTAACATCCTTATTACAAAAGTAAACAAACAAACAAGAAAATCATAATACTGTTTAGCTTCAAAAAGAGAATTCCAAAAATATGACTCTGTCAACTGTAGTAGGTACATTGGTATAAACTACTAGGAAGAACAAAATTAATGTATGCATGCTCTTTGAATGAAGAATCAGAACAGCTTTTCTGAAGGACAGATGTTCCTTATATGTTTTGAAAGTCTTCTGAAGCTGTCAACAGAACTCTAGATACAGTTTATCTAGATTTCCAATCTGCCTTTAGCACAGTCTTCAGCAAAGGCCCTTAAATTATGCAAAACCATAGACTAGTAATAAAGCACGTCTTCACATACTCAGAAGTAAGCTTCCAGAAATCATTGCAAGGAGGTTGGGAAGGCACACAGGACTATACAAAGTTAGGGTCTACAGGCCTGTAAACAGACACCAAAGGAAACAGCCTTCTTACAAAAGAGCTCTGACATAACAAATGTAGACGCCAGAAGAAACTACAGAGGGTTAGACCATAGTATGTAGCCAGGTTCATGTGGTCTCTCTCAATATAACCTCCTGCTGTCTCTGATGAACGCAGTATGCTGGGCCAAATGGACCACCAGGGCAGTGGACACAGCAACAAATACACGCACACAAATCTTAGGCCTCTCCCTGCTCTAAAGAAAGGTGTAGTAAAACCCTCTAATACATCCATCTACTCTGTAAATCAAAATGCACAAGTACAAGCAATAGATTTTACTGAGCTGACAGTTCACTGCACCAGTAAATTAGCAACCCTCATGAACAATCCTATCACACGTATCTGTTGTTTCATTCCTTGAATTTGGAAGAGAACAGAAGACACCAGAAGTTGGCACCAAATATGTTGTACAAAACCCACAGGGCATTTCAAGAAGTTTACTTTATACTGACGTTCACCGAATCAAATGAGTGTGAAAACATCAGTGAAATGCTGCATTACTCTCTGTTGAGAGTCGTGGGACCTGGATGGCTTGAATCTTTCTCAGCTATGATACACAAAATCCAGGATGTCCTGGTTCCAGTTAGGACAGGGTGTATTCTAGTTGTACCAGAAGGGGGCACGGTCAGGACCTGAAGGTTATTTTATACCACCTAAGCCATTTGTCAGGTGCAGGGGAAAGGGAATCTCTTCTGGGAAGAACGAGCTCCTTCGAGCTGAGGAAATGTGGTGGAGGGAGCCATCTGGTACTGTCTATTATTGGTGTTATTTTCCATGGATTGTTTCCTTTTCTATATAATACGTAATTAGTGTTTTTGCTGTTTTTAGTAAATTGTTCTTGTGAACCTGTGATCTTTATCTTATGTCTCCAATTCTCCTCTTCAGCCCACTGGGGGGGGGGGAGGGGGGATGAAGTGGAGGGGCGTGGCGGAAAGTACGGGAACAGATTTGGGTTTTTCCAGTGGGAAGACCAAATTGAGGAATACCATTCCTAAACTATGACAGAAATCTTGGCCTGCTTACATGTTTTCTGTAACAGTTTTTAGTATGTCAATTTTTATACCAAGCCTTAACTTGATGGGGATGAAAAACCGATATCTTAATCATTGCCATAAGCTTTATTTCAGATGCATATGTGAAAGACAGTATTTGTGCAATGCTGCCGCTGACAATGTAGCTGTGTGCACAAAGCCGTTTGAAGCATCTGCTTCTTCTGCTACAAACTACCAAGTGCTTTTGCTGACTAGCTGCTTTCTCAGTTGGCACATGCATGGGTAGCCTGGTTTTAGAACCTGTGGCTGGTGTCAGGCACTGGCATCAGCTTCCACTGGAACATTGTGTTAGCAGCAAGTCAGATGTGCTCACACTCAGCACAGATGTAAATACACATTTCATGCATGTACCAGTCACATCCAGGACACGTTACTTATCCCTTCATCCCCTCTGTGATGGCCTAAGAGACAATACTAGGGCAGGAAAAGAAATTTGCTCATAGATGAAGTCTGTTGAGTCTATGACCACTGCCAGATGCAAAACCGAGAGAAAAACCGTCAGAGAACTCAGGAAAATTTAGTGTCTGTCTCCCAGAGACCTCCATAAGCAGAAGACTGACCCGAAGGCCTGACTCTCACCCTGCATTTAGACATGACTAGGCTGCAGTTTGCAAAGGAAAGGCCAGGAAAATGCCCATATATTGAAGCTAGGGAAGACTTATTTCTTTATTACTTATTCACTAATGCTTCGACTCACAGTGAAATAAATGATATCCTTACATTCCTGTACTGTGTCTCACCTGCCTTCAGCTCAGATGATGTTAATGCCTCTTAAGCAAGACCACAAAGACACAGGGGCCAGTAACCACTGCCTGGACTGCTGGTGAAAGCTACCAGTGTGGGAGACCTGGCTTACACATGAAGTGTGTTATAATCATACGGCACTCAAGTATGCCTGCTGTATTGTGAGCTCGTGAAACAGTCCTGCAGGACAGGAATGACGGTAGACACTATGGATTGCCAGCCATGCCTTATTACTGTGCTCAAAGGCCAATGGTCACTGTCTGGAGTGGATTCCAGAGGCAACAGACATAATATGTATTAAAAACCCCAGCTCACTGCATTTACCTTTGGCTGGAGTGCTCACCTATAGGTGATCAAATATTCCATGACTGTTGGCCTGTTGCAAGCTCTGCCCAAGTTTCAGAGGCCCAGGAGACATTTCCTGTAATCAGCCACAACACTCTTTATCCCTTTTCTCTCTTCAAGGCCAGTCAGAGTAGCACCGTGTAATACTTGGTCGTTTTTACTGCACACAAGGGTAATAGATACCACATTTGGGAGCGGGGAAATGCGTGGCTTAAGGAAACAAGAAGTCAAGAACAGGAAGGGAGATGCCTCCTTGTAAGAAACAGCTGCTGTCCGTATCAGCCGTCTGCTCGGAAGCGGAACAGACTCGCCGGTTTTACCACGGCAACAGTTTTGTTTCTGCTCTTCGCAGTCATTCAGCTAACATGTTTGTAAACACCAATGTGTATTTTGTAAAAACTTAGCGTTTCACAAAACAACGTTCACAAACACCAGGTCACTTGCGGAACTTCCCACCACTCCCACCAGCGCTCTCCGCAGGCCCAGTGGCCTCCCAGCAAGGCGGGACCTGCCCGGCCCTCGCCGCACTGCCGCCGCAAAGCCTCTCGGGAGTTGAAGTCCCGCACACTGCCTTTTCCATGGCGGCCCCGCGGCTTGTGGACTCCGTGTCCCATGGAGCGCTGCGGGGGGCCCGGCGCCCGGCCCGCGGCCCCGGCAGCTGGCGGCAGGGCGGCTAGTTCAAGTTGCCATAGCGGCGAGGTGAGGCGGGCGGAAGGTGCGGGGGGACGGGGCGGCCTCGCCTTGGAGTGCTGTGAGGTGCGGGAAGGGCCGCGGCCAGGGCGGTGTGCGGGAGGCGGCTGTCCGGCTCGGAGCGCCGCGGGCGGGCGCGGATGGGAGCGGCGGCGGGAGGCGCGGGGTGCGGCGGCCGTGGGTTTCTCGGGACGCTCCGGAGGCCCGGCCGGCGGCGTTCTGGCTCCTGTCTGGGCCCAAGAACCAGGAGACTCAGAGCTGGAGTCGGGTGTTAGTGACGTTCCCGGCAGGGAGGAGGATTTCCAGAGGGCATTACTTGGTTATGAACAGTGCGAAGGAACCGCTTTCTGTGTTGTGCTGCTGAAGAGTGCTGGGAGCACGGTGTGACAAATTGATAATAACGTGGTACTGATCCCTGAAGGCACGATGGTGAGATATTACCATATGGGATCACCTTCCTGTGTTTTCCAGACTCAAATACAAACACTGAAGGAAAGAGCCTTTCACATGTCCTGTTGTTCCTTTCTGAAATGATTATAATTTATTTTTTTTTTTTGTCGTGCTCAGTCTTAACTATGAGGCTTCAACCATTTCTTTAACACTGTTAGTTACCTAGTGATAGATTAGTCTGTGTGGAGCTGAACAAATAAAACACTTGAGGAATAATCAGATTGTGTACACTTTATCTTTTGTTTACTTGAGTTGAAGAGCTTGACATTGAGATTGTCAGCTGTACTTCTTACCTGGCAGACTTCTTAAAAAGTCCTCAATGAAGCTGAAATGCTCTGCTTCCTACAGGAAAGGAAAATATTCAGTATTTTCCTGAGTATTGATGCTTTTCATCAGTTCAGCAAAGGTTGTGATCTGCTTGGGTAGAACCAAAAACCAGTAAGAGCCAAATGATTCTTACTGTCAGGTAGGTCATACGTGCTGAAATTAGCGTAGCTGTTTGGAAAAAGTGATAAGCTTTTTTTTGTTTGTTTCAATTGACAGGCAAATGTGCATATGGAACATGTCTGTAAATTTCTACTTCTTTGTGATTTTTATTTTTTTAATCTAAAGTGAAACTTGCACAGTTCCTTTAAAAATGAGGATATTGCCTTATGTGAAACAACTTCTTCACCTTAAAAGTACTTGTGGTTCCTTTTAGGTTGCTCCTGAGAACAAAGAGGAATGCTTAACCATAAATAGTAAGTTTTCTTCTGACAAAATGTCCTCCTTATCCTGTGCTTTCTTTTATTTTTACCTTGATTACTGACCTTTCTTCTGTGCTTTGGCTAGTATATGTCTTAATGAGCCTATTTTTTGACAGCTGAAAATAAACCCATTAATCTTTCCTGCTGTAAATCTTTATATCACTTTTTACCCTTCAGTCTTTGCTTTTAAGTTGTTGGGGCTCTTATGGTTGGGTCTACTTCTTTATTAGGTTTTGTTGATTATTTATTTAACCAAATTACAGTAAAACAAATATTATTCCATGCTATTATTTGTACCAGTGTTTTATTTATTTTATTTTTCTTTGTCTCTGAAAGTATCCCATAATTTCTGTTTCCCAAAGGTTAGTGTTTATTCTTTTTCAGTCTCATTAAGGCTTCACTGCAGCTGACTACAGTGAGGCACTGGAATAGCAAATTCTGATACTGTTAGTAAAAATGTGTCTTAGTAAGATGAGATAAGAAGAGGAAAGATGAGGTTCAGAAAATATAAGAAATACTGATGTACTTGAGCACAGACTAAGCAGATTGATTTGCTGTTCTTTCATGTTTGAAAGGTTTTTATCCAAGTCTGGGGAACACAAATTTGCAACCTTTTGAAAATTAAATAAAAGACCTTGAAAAACTTCAAGTTGCCTCCATGTAAAATACAATGTAAGATTTGAATCCATCTATGGTTTCTTTTGGAAATTTCAGCTCTCATGGCTAGAACAATGTCATCTTTACTGTGATTTTTTTTTGTTGTTGTTGAGTTCGAGAATTTGCCAGTCTGTTTCTTCTTTCACCAAGTCATTCCATGACCTTAAGGCAAACTGCTGCAGTGTGTAATAATTTAAGAAAAAATTTTGATCTAACCTACCTTTTGAGACTTGCTATTTTAATCAGTTACTATGTGAATTTACTAGGCACAGCTGTCTGGCACAGCTGTCCGTAGTTTTTGATAATTTCACACATCTGATGATTGTTGACCTACTTTCCCTCTATTTTGCCATCCTTGAGATTTAGCAATCCCAATTTTGAAGACAGCTTAGGGAGCAGTGTGAGGTGAAGGAGGGTGCTTCTGCAGACCAGGAAGGTTGATAAAACACTGATGGATCCACTCTCTGTTTGGGGAAGAGAATTTGCCGAATTTGGGTTGTGATTTGATAATGGGTACTGAAGATTTGGAAGCAGTGAGATTGCATATTTTCATTTCATTTGCTCTCAGAGGCTCTGCCTTCTGCATCTTGACCCTGCTTCATAGTGTGAACAAAGGTAATAACTGAGGAGCAATTGGAAGGTCTGCTTCAAAAGTACATCCTGCTGACCCACACCAGAAAGGCAAATGTAATCTGAGTTTATGAAGTTGCTTTGGGAATATTGTGCAAGACTTCAGTTACAGATAGGAATTAACACACGTTACTTTTTCTGGTCTTCCTGCCTAGGCTTCAAGATACTGATGGCAGATTCATCCAGCGATTCAGACAACTTATTTACGGGTCGGATTGGAAGGCGGCCCTTGAGAGCATCCCACAGCAGAGCTCAGAACTATGGTGCTGAAGAAGTTACAGAGAAGATCCATACTTTAGCAAGCACTTTGCAGGTTGTTTGCAAAATACAGTTTTAAAGTATTTGTAGAGCCTACATTTCTGTAACGCAGGGTCAAATTTTCATTTCTAATGTTGTGGAGTATACTGTACAGATGGGAAACGTTGCTTTCTGTGCAAACTAAAGATGGTTTTGGGAAATTAATCATACTGCTTTTGAGCTGAAAGTGCGTGGCTTCTTGCATTTTTATACAGCTGCTATTTCAGACAGTAATAGAATGTTAGAAAAAAAGTTGTGTTGGGGAATACTATTTATAAAGTTAGCAAACTGAATAAGGGCAAATCAGCTTTGTTAGATTTTCACAAAAGGCATGACATTTTCTAGCAGAAAGTTTCAACCTTGTCTTGATTGTCTTGGTATTGTGTAAAATTTCCAAATTTCTGATAAATATAAGCTCTCTCTTCAGGAAAGAGCTTATATTTAAAATATTTTCTAGATGTGAAAAAGCACTGTAAGAAGCATTATTTCTAAAATTGTAAGAGAACAAGAAAAAGTGGAGGGTGCAGAAGGAATATCTGTTTTGCAAACGGGAGGAGACATTTAGCTATCCCGACACCATTAGTGCTGGATAATTTATTCCCATTCTCCTCTAGTTGACAGTTCTGAATACCTACAGTGGGTGGGTGTATGTTTTATTACTTATTGTTTGGCTAGAAACATTTTTTTCCCCTTTTAATATATGAGAAGGGAAAAATCAATATAGAATGGTAAATTTAAAATTCAAAACTTCTTATCTGGAAAATAAACATCAATCTAGAAAATAATATATTAAGAATACAGTCTGATTACTTTTTAAAAGGGATTCTTTGGTATTCTGATTATGTCAAGCGTTTTTCTAGCTGCTCTTCTAAAATTCCAATTTTAAGCTAATTGCTTTTTATGGACTGCTTTTCAGCAGATCTTCCATCTGATCCAGGTGTTTATCTGGTCAGAAAATAGTCATGGGGTGACCTTACCTAGTGTGTTCACCTTCAAAAACTTGTTATTTCTCAGATAACTATTCTGTTCTACAAGCAGGTAATGTTAAGTTGTTGAATTAAAAAGGTTTTTCTACAGAAACTTGAAAAAACTATTTGTTGCTGTTGCTGAGGTCTTACTGTTGTACTGAAGTTATAGAATTTGGTTTGTTTTTTTTTTTTTTTTTTTTTTCTTCTTCTTCATTTTCCTCCCTTTAGTCATGCTTTATCCCTTCAGATTCTGGTTATTTGAATAGGATTTTGAATGCTTAGACTGTTTAGAAAACATTTGTGTTTTTAATTTAATCTTAGAAATTAATAATAAAGACAACAGTAATGTTTGATTAGAGGAGATTCCTGTTTTGACTTTTTTTTCTAAAACTTTTTTATTTAAGGATACCAACAGAAATCTAAGACACGTTGACCATTTGCTAGGACAATACAGAGAATACAACAAGGAACAAACCAAAGCAATAACAACTGTGAGCAACTTTCAGTTTATCTTAACTTTTAGGTCTTTTCCATTAGTAGATCTCATAGCTGAAAATGTGGTATTAATGGACAGAATACATAGGGATTTAAGTAGCTTTAAACAGAAACTTTTAATATTTATTTGAACATACTAAATCATAATACAGTAAAATGTTATATAATGGAAGTCTGACGGGTTTTGTGGGCTCATTACTTCTCTGGTTTATAAGCACCCAGTGGATTATGTTATGGTACTATGCAAAGTACAAGATGTGTTGCTGAAATAGAGTATTAGGGAACATGTTTCTTTTGCAGGAAGAAGTGGTAAGATAAAAGCTGAATTACAGCAGGGAGTGAAATTGTGATCATACTGATGTAGCTTTTTTTCCTGTCATTCTGCAGCAGTTTCTGGATCTGTTGACCAGCTTGCTCTAAACTGCAGAAAGGATGAAAATTCTAAAATTATTCTTCTCATTTTAGAAACTCAAAGCTCAAACTTCTACAAACTTGAAAACAGGTGTCTTAGAGAAAACAAAACAAATTAGTGCTGCTAGGGTAAGAGAGGTTTACAATTTGGTTACAAACAAGCTGCAGCAGCTGCTGCTTTAAAACGGATACATATGAAATGTAGAGTATTTTACATGTGAAGGTAGAGAGAGTGAAGAAGCAAATGTGTAGAAAAGAAGGCTTGTTTTTTTCCACAGAAAGAGATCCAGCACTGTATAATTCTGCAGGAGTAAAGCATCAATTTAACCATGGTTTAAAAGCTCCTCTTAGAAAAAGGAGAACCATTAGAAACTGATGTTTTGTGGATTGTCAAATAAAGGTGTAACAAGGCAAGTGGCTAAGAACCAAAGTTAATGAATGCAATTGTAAAAAACAACATGCAAGTTTGAAAAACGAAGAACTAATTTTTGAACGTAGCTAGTTCTGTACTCTTAAATTGGGAATGGCTTCCTTTTCCTGAAAGTGAAACTTCTAAAAATAGAGGTTTCTGTAAAGCTGTTTAGGGAAATTTGATAGCCATGTAAAATTGATTCCAGGCAGGGTTGGTGGAAGAATTCCAGTAAAAAATAATTTCTTTGAAGTTATTTTCTGAATTGTGCAGAACTGTTAGTAAGCCTTGCTGGCAAACAGGTCTTACTTTGGTTGTAGGAGATAAACTTTTGAGTTTTCATGGTGGTGCATCATGGTGGTGCACCAATGTTTTAAGAAACTTGATATTTGAAGCTGCCAATGTTGGAAGCATGTTTTGCTATAATTACAGGAATGTGATATATGAGATATTGAAGAAAAGCTGTTATTAATTCATAGCTGTACTTGGCTTAAAAATAGCTTTTATTCTCTTAATGACTTTTAAATAAGTAATATTTTCCATGTTTTTTAGAAAACAAGTTTGTGTTCATATTTCAATAAATTACAACTTTTCTACAGTTAAAAGAAACACTGGAGCAATCTATAAGTCAATTGAGGAGCCAGCGACTAACACGAAACTCTGGAATGAGAAGTGCGTCTCTCTCAAGCTTATATCCCAGTGACCTGGATGGAGAAGGAACATCAGGTAAAATACTTGAAGGGCTTGTGTATGCTTGGATTATATCATATGGCCGTGTTATGCAAAGAGGACATTAAGAAAAACGTTTAGAGATAGTCTTATGGAAAGTCATCATTGATGACTTCAAAGAAGCTGAGTTTAGAAAGCTGGGAGACCTGCAGTTGTTTATGTGGTAAATTTTTCCAGCTTTGTGTTTCTGTTAGTATTTTCTGCTGATATCCCAGGAGATCTAAATGAAATGTTGATTCTTTCAGCTGAGGAAATTAATTTTCCACTGCATGAGTTGTAGGTACATACAAGTTAAAGCTAAATCCAAAAGATATTGCAGCTTCTGAAGCTTGCTTCACAGCAAAAAAGGAATTTAAATTTTAAATGCATGAGATTATGGATGTTTGGAAACAGTGGAAAAGGAAAAAACCAGAAATTATTTATGACACACAAAAGAGTAGGTTTTTTTCCTTGTATGTCTCACAAAATTCATTATATTTTGGGAAAAGGTATGTTTGGGAGGAGTATTCATTTGAGAGGTAGTGTTAAATGTATTTTAGTAGAAAGCTCTAAAAATTTAATTTCTATGTAAAAGCTGTGAAATATCATAGTTTGAAGCTCTGATAGATTCACATGGAGGAAAAAGTGGTTGGTTGGGCAAATAAAACTTGAGGAAAAACTACTCCTTGGAGAAACAATTCCTCTTTTTGGAATACTTGTATGTCATGGGTAAGAAATGTTTAAAGTGAAGAAGAATCCTGGGAAGAGCTAAGAGTCATAAGCATATGTACTTCAGTAGTTGTTTTGTTTGTAATGTGACCTAGAAGGGTATTGTCAAGAGGAAGTAAGCATTTTTTGTGAGGCAAAATGAAAAATTTCCCATACAAAATTTTGTTTTCCTGCTTGTTTTTTTTTTTTTTTTTATCATATCTCCTGCAGGCAACCGCCACTTCCTTCCCACTTCTCCTCTCAGGGATTATGGAGACTCCCAGGGCAATAAACACCGAAGGTCTAGATCTGCAAGTGTTCGGTTTGTCAGTGAGGCAGAAAATGTGGAGCAGGTACGGAGCACTAATGGGAGTTGCTGTTCCAAACAGTCAATATGTTTGCTGTTTGAGAGTCAAAGAGTCTCAAAGACTCTTTGTTTTACATTAAATGAGGTGATTCTGAACATGCAGCTAAGAATGTTTCAGTTATGATTTGTGCTTTCAGTTGTTACCTGCTTTTTTCATTAGGCAGTCACCTCTTGTATCTGCATGAAATTTCATGTAAATCATTATAGAGAAAAAGATGCAGATGGTAGTGATATCAAAAGTAAAATATGAAAATAATCTCCCTACTTTTTAAGCTGTCTAATGACAAAGAAAAATAATCTCTGAATAGCTTGTTTAGTCTGGAGAAGGCTGAGAGGGGATCTCAGTAATGCATATTATTATCTCTAACATGGATGTCAAGAGGATGGTGCCAGACTGTTCAGTGGTGCCCAGTCACAGGACAGAGAGCAATGGCCATAAACTAAAACACAAGAAGTTCCACATCAGTGTGAGGAAGAGCTTTACAGTGAGTATGGTAGAGCACTGGCACAGACTTCCCAGGGAGGTTATGGAGTCTCCCTGTCTGGAGACATTCAGAACCCACCTGGACAAGTTCCTGTGTCACCTTTTCTAGGTGACCCTCTCTTGGCAGGGTGTCACCATTGAGTCAGGAATGGATGAATGAGTGACACACTCCAGATCTCTTCAGGAGGCTAACAATATTTTTATTAGGAACCCATTCCTTTTTATACACTGTTCAGACACAGGTGGACCTGATTGGTCCTTTAATCAGCACACCTCACATGACTGGCTAATTGAGACACCCTTTGGTAAGCATCTTATGGGAAAACAGCTGCAAGATTGTTTTAGTCCTTTCTCTCAGCCTTCTCAAAACTCCCTAGAACAATTCTTGGGAAAGTTGATCTGGCTTTCTCTCTCTGACCAGGTTGTCAGTATCCACAGCAGGGGGCTTGGAAGGGATGACCTCCAGAGGTCCCTTCCAGCCAGTTAACATTCACCTTTGTGCTGCAGTTCAGTGAGGCTCTGAAGGGGATTATTCTGCTTTAGTTAATGGTGTAGGGTCTTAGAGCTTTTGTTTTTAGTTTAGTGTAGCTTGACTTGATTTTAAATCAGGTAGTTCTTCATCATAGTTCTTGGTCTGACCTGTGAGTGGGATAATTTGAGCCTGTATTTCAGGGAGATGATGGGAGAAGATGTGTGTGCCACAGGTAATTCATATCCCTTAACATGCTTGCGGACATCAGAAAAAGTAAATTAATTACCTTAATTGATAAGATTGTAGTGTTTCTGTTATCCTACAGGTAGAGAAGAGATTTCACTACCTGGTTTTGCTTTTTGCAGACAGGGTGGCTAGACTTGCTTGAGTGAATCTGTGCAGACTAATATTAAAGAAGCTGATTGTAAGGTATTGATATTGACTTTATAAAATCAGTCTCAGCTTCCATATAATTTTATACTTAACTACAACAAGTTTTCTCAGATGACTTTTTGGGAAGCTATAGAAATTTTAGGCTTTTATTTAACCCTGTTTCATTGTATTTTCAATCTAGTTCTCCCCCTATTCCTTCCTCTCCCAAGATAAGTGTAGAAAATAATCCTTGGAAGGAAACAATATTATATGGAAGTCTTTCCTCCCAACCATCCAAAATGCTTAGGACTATTGTAGATTATTTCTAGATATTATATAAATATCTTGGAAATTTTATTCAAGGGAATTCCTGCAATGCATGCAGCGTTCTTCATATTAAGTAACTGTATAGGCAAATAGCTTTATTTTTTTTTTTTCTGGTTTTGATGATAACTGCTGGTTTATTCCTTATTCTTGCTTTTCAGTGAATGAATGTGGCTTTTTCTTTTCATTAACTATTTTGTAAGAAGAGTGTAGTGCTTTGAGGAACGATGAACTAGAAGTAGCCATTGATCATGATTATAGGTAGAAATTACACCAGAGATAAAGCTGTACTGCTTAAGTAAAGTTGTGGCTTTTTCTTTTTTTCTGCAACCACTGTCTCTTTATTTCCATTCTGACTTTTTCTGGCTGAAGTAATTTTTCAGCCAAATGGTCTTTTAACACATTTAAGTCCCTCTTCTTCTTAGCACGTACATTTTGAAAACACAATTTGTTATTTCAAAGTCTCTCAGGTCAGGTTAGATTTTCTGGTTAATTACACAGGGGAGGTAGTAGTGACTGTGTCTGAATGTTGAGGGCAGTCAGCTTGGTTGTGGAAGATCCAGGTTTAAATCTAGGGCACAGAACAAAGGAATATAAATTAGGGTTTTTCATAATGATAATCCTGGCCATGGAATTGTTGACAGCAGCAGATTGCATTAGGATGGATTAACTGTCACTTTCTGTCCCATGAACAATGAATGACCTATTCATTTTTTTATTTGCTCCCTTTGATGATAAATTGGGAGCCTGCTGAATGGGGAAAATGGGAGGTGTGTGGGTTTTTTTTTTGTTTTTTTTTGTTTTTTTTTGTTTTTTTTTGTTTTTTTTTGTTTTTTTTTTTTTTTTCCCCCAAGTCTTGGGCAAGTTAAAATACCTATTCTTGGTAGTTCCTGAATATATTATACTGTTCTGCTTGTTTAATTTCAATTTCCTATGTAATCTATTTATAGTAGCATATATAGCTGGGCAGAACTTTGTTTTACCAGTACTAGTATCTATTAACATGAAACATGTCCCTCCTGAACATTACTTGTTCAGATATTTCAGTTTGCTTTGCATTAAGTTAAAGAGGGGGTATAGTGTCTAAGCTCTGAACCAGAGAAAAAAACCATAGTTAGGAAACTTGGTTTAGCAAATAAAGTACTGAAAGTTAAACTACAGTGAGCAAGTATTGTGAAGGGTGGATTGAAATAGAAATGCGTAAGGCTCATCCAGTCATCCAGGCTCAGCTACAGTTCATGGAGTTTTGTTATTTTTTAGGTTATTTTTATCTGCTTTATTTTAAAAAGTGTGTACATGTGTAGATAAGTATTTTTGGAATATCACAGAAAAAAGGGTTCCCTAAGCCTTGGCATAATTTGTGTACTTTCATTTGCAGCTGCATTCTTTCCACCAGTCTCTTCGAGATCTCAGCAGTGAACAAGTGCGCCTGGGAGATGACATCAGTCGCGAGCTTTCAAGAAGAAATCGGTATAAACAGAATGTAACTCCGTGTGGAAAAAATTCTTAAACTCTTTTATTTCAAAAAATAATTTTGGGGAGAATGAGTGATTGTGGAACATGTAGATGAAAGCAGGATTATGAACTGCTTGTTGTGTGTCATCTGCTGCAGTATTTATAAATGTGAATAACACCTACTGATTCAAATTTGTATAATATATTGGGCTTTCCTCAGTTTTTTCAAATATATGCACAAAATGGCAAGGTTTTGGGGATTTCTTTTATTATAGCTTTGATCCTAGTTTGTTCTTGTTACTGAGTCCCTTCAGGACAAACTCTCCTGCAGGCCATAATGTATATATTTTCTCAACATGTGGTGCTTTGTTCAATACCAATAACAGGAGTTAGACTGTTAATTCCTAGCAAGAAAGGACTGTTCAAAAGGACTGCATATATGTGTCCATAATTTTTCACTTGTTGACCTGATACCTGGCTGATATTAAGATGCTCTATTTCTTCACTTGAGGAATGGGAATGTTTTTTGTCATGAATTTTCCATTTGAGGCTTGTTTCTCATTATGTTATAAATTATTATGAATGGGCTGTAGTACAAATTGAGGTAGCAAAAAAATTCTGGGGGGGTTGTGGCTGCTTAAAATTGTCATGGGTGTTACTTAGCTTTTGCACTGTAGAATATTGTCTTATTTATATTTTTCTATGAAGGACTGATGCTGAATTAAGAAAGACTCTAGAAGAATTGTCTGAAAAGCTCACTGAGTCCCAAAGACAAGAAACGGTGAGTGTGACTAACATGAAAATGATTATTTAAATCTAGTATTTTAAACAAGATGTGGGCTTCTAGTTTAACTTATGTGTTGGTAATTGGTATGACATGCTGATATGTATATCTGAGCATGATCTTATTTGGGCTGCTATAGGTTGTTGAAATGCTACCCTTCAATAATGAAATCAGCAAGACAAGTTGTTTATTTCAGGTGTTTGAAATATACAAGTTGTATATTTCAAGTGTTTTACAGGTGTGTGTATTGTGAATTTTTCTGTTACAAAATTCACAGCCTTGGAGAAAGCTGCTTTTTTACTTTGAACATTGGTTTGAATGCTGTTATAATTGTTGAAGGTATCTTTGGAAAGATCCAAGCTTTCCCATGTTATGATGATAAATACTATTGTTTCTTCCTCCATCCCTCCCTCCCTGTTCTTTTCAATCTTTATCATCTGTGTAGCAAAATGGAAGGAGTCTCTTTGGGCTGTACTCCTCTCTAAAGGCTTCCTGACAAAATGTAGCAAAGGACAAAGGACAGCCATGACAGTCTTTTCTTTTTTGTCTTCTGTATTTGCTGGAAGCAGACTGACTGCACTCTGTATTACTTAAGTATGAAAGAGATCTGCTACTGAGATCAAAGTCAAACAGCATATTGCTGTAGGAACAGGAGAAGTTGATAATTGCCCCAGTGATTAGTAGGTGAGAATCCTGTAAGTAGTAGTGAGATGTTTGTCACTGATAACAATATTGTTGGCATGGACCACTTGTTGGTACCAGCAGACTTAATAAATGTACTTGTGTAAATTCATGTTTCCAGATTCAACTGGACATTGATTCAAGAGACACTATCTGTACCAGTTATGTTCTTGATATGATAGGATGTTTCCAGATTCAACTGGACATTGATTCAAGAGACACTATATCTGTAGTAGTTATGTTCTTGATATGATAGTGTTCATCAGGGAAAGAAGACTTGCCTTGTCGGCCTTTGTAGAAAAATATGATGGGGTTATCTTTGTTAGAATGTTAATTTTGATTTCTCCTAGTAGCCTGGTAAGATAAAGTAAGTTTATCTGATAAAGAATTCTTGATACTTGAAAAATGCTGTGTTTTTCCTGTAGCTTATTTTTTTCTCTTTCATGTACTAGGAAATTAGCAAACTCAGTTTTAACCAAGGTGGTTCTCAAGAAAATAGCTGCTACAGCTGTCTACATTACAACTGTTCAGTGCCATTGCGTGAGAGAAGCAAACCCTCCTCAATCCTCTGGAATGGAGGCATCCACTGTCTGTTCATTAATGAAAGAAATAACTAGTTCTTTGACCTCCTACAGTAGGGTTTCAAGATATGAAATTGAGGGTTACAACTTTTGACCTGAGAGAAGCAAAAAATGAGAGAGGTGAGGTATAACAAGGAGGTCTCCTGTAGTATGTTAATGGTAAGGGCAATATCAGAAGAGTAAGCCTCTTAGTTGGGAGGGAGCATTGTAATGCAATAAAGCTATGAAAACTGAAATATTTACTGATATTCTTTTAGTGAAGACACAAATGCTGCAGTAAGCTGCAGTGAGTTGATTTTTATTTGTAGCACTAGTAAAAATTCACCTGGAATGTTCTGTTCATTGGTGATTACTGACTTTATGAAGAACATCATAAAGCCAGAAGGAAAGAAGACTGGAAAGAGGAGAGGGAAAAAAAGAAAAAGGGGAAAAATAAAAAGGCCACTAATTCAAAGATTTCCTGGTAAAGATAGAAGAATAGCTGGGGTTCAGTTTGCAGAAGAAACAGGTCATTAGAAAGGATCTAGCCATGTATAATGAATGGCCAAAAAATGGAAGTTTGCTGTATGATATAAGAACAGAAAGTCATCTAATGATAATTTTGTCCGATAGAAGTCCAATCACCAGTGAGTTAGGAGCTTCTTGGTCTGGAAGTGATCTGTGTGCTTTCTGTACTGAGAAATATTCCCTCTGTGAATTTCTTTTTTGGAACTTGTCCAGTGTTTGTTATAAATTGTGTATCTTTATGATCTTATCTTATAGCAAAGGGTTCTCAAAATAGATTATATATTGTGAGAAGAGCTGCTGTTTTTTTGGTGATCTGGTTTTTTTGGTTATTTTGTGTATATGTGTTTTGGTTAATGTGTTTTGTCTTGAGTTTTTTTGTTAGTTGTTGTAGGGTGTTTATTTGTTTGGATTTTAAATCTAATTTTTCATCCCTAATTTTAACTTGGGAGGTTGTTCAATTTCTTCAGAGGCTTTTCAGAGTGTTACTTTTTGGGCCAAAAAATTCTGACTTAATTGTCTGTTGTGTCCAGCCAATTCCCCATCATTTGAATAGCCTGGTGGTAGCAACATTGTGCACTGCTGCTTTACCAGGGCTCTCTGATCCTAGGTGTGGATTCCTTGCCCTTGTCCAAAGCCTAGTGATCTCCTATTGGACCTGATGAGGCTGGCAAAATCAATGAGATGAGGTAAATGCAAAAAAGAGGAATTTAGTATGGATATTAGAAATAAAAATAACTCTCATGGTATACATAGCAAAGCATGCGATTAGAGTGCATGTAGAAACTAGAGTCTCTTATTGTGGATATTTGACATATATATATTTATGCATTTAGGAATTCTTCTAATGAGATTGCTTAATTCAGAATTGATTGTCATTGGTGAAAGTGAGTGGAGTAGGACATATAATACCTTTTTTCTCAAAACTTAAATGCAAAGTTGTTCAGGAACTTTTGTCCTTAGTGCCTTTAGGCTTGGGAGTGTTTATCACCTCAGGCATTGCCATCCTTGTATTTATATTCTTCTGTATGATTCTTGGCAATAAATTGTCAACTTGAAATCTTGATAATGTCACAGGATGAGCTCATGGTAGAAACATTCTTTTCGGTTCAGTGTCCTTAAGTCTTTTATTTTTTTGAGGCATATGTCTAAATTCTTACAGTTTGGTATATTTGGGGCTGTTTGAAAATTGCCTGTTTGTAGATATGTGATGATAATGGTCTAAGTCACTACAGTTCTTCTGAGTCACTAGTTCAGAATTTATTTTTATAAGAGTTTATGATTTTTAGAGCCTTTTTGATGCTGCATTTGAGTACTTTAGGATTCACACATCACAATCAAAGCACCATTTTTTACCTGTAAAGAGAGCTTTTCCATGCCAATATAAAAAACAGATGACATTGAAGGTTGCATAGTTGGATGCCTGTTTCAAGTAAAGCACTCTTCATGGCCTTCGACGAGAATCTATGTGCAGTTTTGCTAAAAAACCTTTCTGGTTCTGCAACTCTCTATATCAAAATCTTTTTCTTAGCTAGACATTTTGTGAGATTCATTTGTTCTTGAAAAGGGTCTGGAAGTTTGCTAGACAGGCATATATAATCAATCAGAAAGAATATTGACTTGCTTTATGGTTATATAAGATAGCCCTCTTGGATATTTTGTTGCAATTGCTTGGATAGAAGCACAACTCAAATAGCACAAGATTCTGATCTTTATACATAAAAAGCAACTTCATCACAGTTGAACACAGTTTAGTTAAAAATAAGTAGATGCTTAATTGAGATGGTGCTGTTATAAAATGATGGTAAACTGTCTCTGGAAGAAGACAATGCCAAGTGAAATGGGTCTAACATGGTGTTACTGTGGTTATGGTACCTCAGAGGCTGGGATTATTGTCAAGTAATAAACTGTCCCTCAGAAGATCTGGTATAAGGATTTTTGGTGCTGCACAGGTGACTTGTAAAAGATATAACATATATTATCATTTGCCATGAGGGGAAAGCTTAACAATATTTAAAGATATATCTCTGAAAAAATTATGCTTTTTTGTGATTTTAATACTCCTGTTTCAAGTATGCATTGATGATAAAATGGGTCACAGCAAGAACAGCAGCAAAAATCTGTTGAAATAGATTTCTGTTAGCAGGACTTTTTGCACTAGAAATAACAGTGGAAAGCTGAAAAACAGGGCAGAAATTCAATAAGTAGGATGGTGCTTTTTGTACAGTAAGCATGCAGCATCTTCCACGAGATTATATTTAGCTGCATGACTTAAATGTCACCCTAGTTTTAAAAAGGACGTTCTGTTCTTTTTGTTTAATTGTGGGGAAGGGGAGGAACTTTTTGATAGCAGCAAAATCTATGAAAACAGATTAAGCTACCTGAAACCTGTATGTAGAGACACAGCTCTAGTGTCATTATTATTATTCAGATAGTCTGTGTTGCTAAAAATGCATGCTTGAAATCACATCCTAATATGTTCTTAATGCAGTAATTTAGTGCTAGTATTTCATTGTGTAAAGCCTCTATATTTTTTGTACTGTCCTTTGGTGAAGCATTTGTCTACGCTAAGATTTTTGATAACAGTCAGAGGTGAAGCTATGTACTTTCATGGTAGAAGTGTGGTTCTGAGTCAAGGTCATTTGGGACAAAGGAAGACAAGTATGTTTTTAAGTTTACTCTGCATGTACTACTTATTAAATTAATTGTTACTATTTTTTTTTTAATCCCTACTGTTGTATGCCACAGGCTCTGTGACAATCTTAGGAAGGTCAGACAGGCTACAAAAATAGGGAACGTAATTCTTGTGGGTGATTAAAGCCTTGCTGAAATGCCAAGGTGTAACCAATATCATACCAATGTACAAAGTATGGGAAACAAATAGGAGCTTTAAGTAGCATCAAACTGTTCGGTGGTTTGTGTTGGTTGTGGGTTTTTTTTTATTAGTTTCTTAAAGAGGATTATGTCTGTAACTGAAATTTCCATGACAAATATAATGATACATAATCTGTCTTTTTTAGTACCTTGTTAGAAATAATACAACTGTTGTATTCTGGAGTGAGTTGAAGGAAATCAGAGGCAAGACAAATCACCTCATAAGGTTACTTTCTTACTTGTTCTGAGTTAGTGATAATTTGTAATGAAATCTGAACTTTTCAGGAATCTAAAGCCTGTCTAGTGCTGCTTCTGTCATGTTATCTTCTGTGCATGCTAGACCTATGACAGTGAAGAAGTTACTGAACTCTCCTTTGGAATGTCATCTTTGGGGGTGACGATACTTTTAAATCTTCTGTGAAGTCAAAATTGTATTTTTCTTTCGTAATAGTCCATTATAGTTAGTGCACTGAATTAGTGCTTAATAGCACTAAAGCTATTAAGAAAGTGCTTCATTGAAAAAAGGTGCACGAGAGAGCAGAGAAAGCTTCTGTCTTCAGAAGCACATAGTCAAAACTTTGAAAAAAATGTTAAAAGATTACTGTTTCATTTTTTTATTTTAGATATGTATGGGGAAAAAGATAACTTATTTCCTTGGTTTCAGGAAAGATATAAGCAGTTTAATGACAGTGTTATTTTCTGTTCCTACTACATGGTATCATTGTTTCTGCTAGCTGGAGTATTTTATGAATTCTGAGAAGTAACGCTAAGTGGTACTTGTCCAAACAAACTTTGCGATATGGTCTTTGTCTTTTTTTATACATTAGTTTTTAGTAAGTAATTTTTCTGGAGTATGGCTGCAGAGCTTTCCTAACTTGAAGTGTGTGGTTTGATGCAGTATCAGGCATCTCCTGATGGTTTTAGGAAAAAAATACAATATTCTTGTAAGCTGACTGTTCATCTGGCTGCACAAACAAGAAGTGTTTTCGGAGAGATTTATTCTGTTGTAAAGAAAAGGAGTGTTTTGTTCATTAAGCCTTGTGAAGCCCAGATCATAAGTGTAGCCTTAATTGTCTTTCTATTACTACTTCTGTTGCCATTAAGAAAGCTTGACGTATAAAACTTATGACATAAGTTGTGTTGCTCATAGTAAAATTTTCTATCCTTGCATATGCCTAGTGCTAATAGAAGTGTGCTTAGCAGAGAAAGATGAGAACTTATTCACCCCCACATACATCAAAAGCTGATAGTTGAATGGTGTTTTATTTTTATCTCTTTTTATCTCTATCGTTCTCTTTTTATCTGATTGTAATTTGGTAATAGATATATTGCTTTCTGGTGGTTTAAAATAGTTAATTTTAAGGTAGGGAGGAAATGATACATAAATATTTTTCTTACTAATCTTAAACAAAATAAATTTAATTTGCTGCCTCAAGAGGGTGCTGTCTGCTAGCAGCTTGAATTGCAAAAGTGAAGTAATTCTGGTGTTCTAGTCTGAGTTTTTATGTTCATAATCCAAGTTGCTTTAATAAACACCTATTGTTTGTGTTCGTTTCTACATGGATTCACAAAATACTCGGGAAAAAGCTTAAAGTGATGTAATTATTTTGTGTTATTACAGTCATTCTCAAGTATTTAGTCCTTGTTTACTACTTTTTACACACAGATTTTGGATCATGAAAGAGGCAAACATTGGTCTGTTTTGCAGGTTGGAGATGTGAAAGAAATGTCCTTCCAGGGGTTCAGCAGGCTTATGACAGATAAGCTAAGACTTTTGTATTGCAACTTCACATTAGGCTGCTCTAACCTTGATAATGAGATATTTAACCCTTGAGTAGAACCACCACTGTAGAGAAAAATATGCATATGCATAAAGGAGAATACTGCTAGCAAGATAACAGTTTGGTTCCCTGCCTGAGTACTTCTGGAGTACTGACTGCTATAACTAGTTATTTTCTCTACCATTCTAGATTTGCTTTAATAAAATACAAATTATGTTCTCTTTTCATGTTGCCCCATAATCTGTTTATGTTTTTGCCATTGATATATTCATATGTATTAAAAGGCACACTAATTTCCTGCAGCATGTGTTTTTTCCTTTTGAAGGTATCAGAACGGGTAGAGAGAAGACTTCAGGAGATAGAAGAAGAAATGCGTGCTGAAAGACAGCTCGTAGAAAGGCGCCAGGACCAGCTGGGCCACATGTCTCTTCAATTACAGGAGGTATGCAAACGAAAGCTTCCCTTGTATTTAGGATTTAGTTAGGAACACGTTGCATTTGTGAGCCTGTGTCTGTCAAATTGGCAGAAGTGCTCCTATCTTGGGCACATGTTTTAACTCTCAGTCCAGCTGACATTGTTTTGATGATCAGGTAATACCAAGCACAGTCTCAGTCCTTCATTATATTGTCTTGACTGTGTTTTGACCTTTTTGGTAACTGCCACAAATCTTCCAAGAACCTGACCCCTATGCCCTTCCTGAAAACCTAAGCAAACAAAAGCAAGTTATTAGCTGGGCTTTTTCAATTAAAAGGTTTTATTTTCTAAAAGGTAAACTTTGCTTGCACACGCAAATGAGCACATTAATTTATTTCAACAAACAATCTAAAGCACTGTAGTGGCCAGACAACTTTTCATTGCTTTTCAGTTTTATTCAACAATACCTGATGAAATAAAAAATACTGTTTAGGAGACAAATAGAAATGTTTAGAATATAAGTTAAAATTTGAGACAGGAATTAGCTTTATTTTTCTTGTTTTAGAAAACATATGAAAAATACTTATTTCTTTTTGATTTTACTTCTGCTTGCAAAATCTGTGTCATAACATAGTGTGACTTTTTATTTCACTCCACTTAAGATAAGATTTGCAATGGTAACTCTATCTGTGCAACAGGTTACTATAATTGAGAAGAAATATGCAATTCCTTCGTTTTTACTCTTAGTGTTTGCAACATAACTTTTTGGAAGGCTTTATACTGTGCAGTGATACTGAGGAACATTCCTCATGATGCTACATATTTCATGTAAAGCTAGAGACTGTTCAAAGAAGTCATATTTTAGAAGGTGAGATGCTTTTTTTTATATAGATAAAAAGTAACATTTATCAAAAGGCTTGGCATCCTTCTGCCAGTATTTCAGAAAGACTTATTGTTTCATTTTCTCTCCAGTTCATCCCCTAGTGGGTGAAAAGAACTAGAGTACTGAATTTCAGTTTTCATTGCTCTTTAATATGCCTATGTCTACTTCTAGATTCTTCAGTTGTGTCTTCAGACTGGGGAAGGGATGCCTAATGCAGTGTATAGGTGTGATTTGATAATGTTATCTGCAGAGTGGAACAATCTTATTTTATCCTTTTAAAGGGATGATACCTTGTATTCTCTAAAGATACATTGACACTGCCATAGTTTCCTTAGAAAGAAAACTTGAATTCAAGTGAATGAGTTCAAATGTAGTTCAAAGACTTTTCATATGATTTTTCATAGGTCATATGAATGATCATAGTCTATGTGATCATGAGCCTTCAGGCTGGGTGCCTTTATTTTTGATAGCTCATCTTTTGAATTTCATGCAAAAATAATGTGAAATACTAAGTACATCCTAGACCTTCTATTCCCCTAAGATGTCCAGCTGTGAACTAAGATGGTTTAGTAGTTTCTACTGTAAATTCTCCTTTATTTTTGTAAGTTATTTTTCCTGAGGAGCCCCTTTTTAAAATACAGTTTAAGTTGCAGTGTTTTAAAAAGCATGTACTTGAACTGCCTTGCATTCTTTTGCGTAGCCTAGTGAGAATAAAGTAAATAAATTTTTTGCTACAATTGTTATTTGGATGAAACATGTTTCTGCATAATTTTGAGCTTGTTATCTTGTTATTCTGTTTCTTGTCCTTTTTAATTAGAATTGTGAGTTAGATGGACTCTAAACTCTGACAGTGGCCTCAGTCTTGCAGTAATCATTGCACAGGCATAATGTTCTGTTGAAGTCTACTTCTGTTTTCATTTATTTCTCCAAGATGCTTCCCAAGTAACATTTCTGGAAAGGAGGTAGTGTTTGGACTGAGTTTTGAAATCTTGTCATTAATATGGCCTGAATGATTTACAGAGAAATACTATTTAAAGCATTTGTGGCTGTTTAATGATATAATTTTTTCATTAGCTTGCCTGTTGCACATTTCAAACAAAATAAGATTTTACTTTTGCATGTGATCAGTAATTGCTCTAATTAAGAAATTTGTGACATTTGTGAGGATTAAATGCTTTTTTTTTTCAGTGAAGTGCAATGCCTGTAACTGACCACTACTTGTCAGTGTTTTACCGTCTTATGCGAATCACCTTCCTAAATTACAATTATTAAATTATATAGTTTCAGGATCTAACACAACGTGATGATACATTTATTTTCGCCTTTCTCTTGTCTGTCTTTCCTTTCAGTTTTTTGTATAATGTGCAAGCTTATTTGTACTGTAGTATTACATATAACTATAATCATAGACTGATTATTAATCAGGAAGATATCTACGTGTATACTGACCATTAAGAAAGCTTGACATATAAAATGTTGTATCTTTAAGTTTTGAATTTGCATTTTTGTTTTGAATCTTTAACCTGTCTGTGCTGTAGTTGTAGAAAAACTATTTTCTGCACATTTTATGTCTCTTTTACCTTAGTGTGTATAGGTATATTTAATCAGCAATTACTGCAAATTAGAAAATAGCAATTAGTGAACAAATTAATGCAAATTGTATATCTTATTTTTTTCTATATTCCTGATATAAGCATGTTTCTGATTAGAAAGAAGAACAAGCATCTTGCTGGGGGTATTGACTTGTATACGTGAATTGCTTTAACAACTGCATTTGTTGTGTAAATGGAAACTATTTTGCGATACTTCAGTGCTTCTTTTTCTTTGAATATAAAGACACCATCCCCTCTTACTTTTTGTTTGCATTTTTACATCTATTTTCTAAAACAAGATCAAATATCATTCTTAAAAATGTTTTCTTTGCATTCTTTTCTGTGTGTTGGGTGCCCTGGATGGCTTTACAAAATTTTGTGCTTGGCTTCCAGGATTTTGGTGAAATGTGTCCATGTGTTCATGCTTGGCATGCTTTAGGTAAACAGAATCATCATTATTGAACCTTTTGCATCCACTGACTGTGGTGAGGCAGTGACTGCAGTTATGTCTTAAGCTAGCAAATTGGGTAGGCCAGGAAGCATTTTATAGCTTTCTCCTTGTGCAACTGTACGCTTAGATTCTCTTTGCCTCCCACTACAAATACCGTGAACTGCAAGAAGCTGGTGGACAGAGAGTGGGGTAAATTGATGGTCAAAAGTGTTATTGAACATTGTTTATTGCATATCTTTATCATTGATCTTTTTAGACAAACATAAACTTGATCTGTGCTCTGAGACACCTGGATATTTTTGTGCATTGTTGATACTTGCTCTTTGGCTCTGTGCTATGCCACCTGTGGCCAATGGTTTCTGTTTTGATTGTAGTTTGAATCTGACTCTTGCTTGGAACATGAGCAAGTCTCATACATATCTGTCACTGAAATAGCTAGGTAGTCCCTTTTTAACTTCCTGGCTGGTATGTTTAGGTAGCATACTTGGAGCCATGCTAATCACTAATGTAGCAAGTTAGGGAAGATATTTTCATTCAGATTAGGATGTGATACATTTTTGCCTTACTTAAATTATAGCTTGAGGCTTTTCTGCTTGTATGTTTGTGATAGTATGAAAAACTTACTGATCAGTCTCACTTTGAAAGAGCAAGTATCAGTTTGTGGTCTGTACACAGCTTTCAAAAAGTCTGGTTTTATTTAAAAAGAAAAAACAACACAGCAAAACCAAACTGTGACCAAATCCCAAACCCTAAGAAAAGTTAGGCTTAAGTTGCTGTAAAAGTTATGATTTGCTCTTGAAAGATTGTCATGTGTTGGAAAGATTGAGAACTTGAGTTGTTTCACAATCATTCCCATAGTGTTCCTCATGTATAAGAAAAATTAATCTATGAAGGAGTAAGTTATGGTTTTGAAGTTTTGGGGTTCGACAGATGTTCTGTGTATGTGGATGAGGTATGCTCAGTTGGGGTATGCCAGCTACATTTGTATTCTAATGCTGTTTTATGCTAGTGAACTCTTTATAAAGACCTGTAAGAATTGCTCTACTTGGTCAAATTAGGAGTTCATCTAGCCTGACCACCCAGCAGGCAGTGGAACGTGTAGCTGGTCCTTCCCATAGCCATGCTGTGATGACCTGTGTTCATGGAAGTTCTCTGTCTCCTTGTGGCCTCCTATATACCTGCCTCCTTCAAGGCCTCATCAACCTTGTCAGTCTCTTCCGGACCAACCCAGACACTAGTGCTTTCAGAGGAGGATCTTGGCAGGAGAATCCTGTTGACCGTAGGCCTGTTCCCATTCCTTGGTGCTTCAGCTTCTTTGGGCAGTGTCTGCCTGCTGTTTGGGAGCCATCAGGGAGGAGTGTGTGCTTGAACTGTTGTCCTTAGCATTATTTTCCTAGTTCCCATTTTTGACATTTGACTTCCGCAACCCCTTCTTTGGGTACAACAAATGAAATCAAAGAATCAGTTGGATCTTTACTTGTTTTGTTTGGTTTTTTCTTTTACCCCTCCCAAGAGAAAGCTTATATAGTGATCTTTAGTGGAGAAAAAAATGAGTGTGGCCCAAAACAATAAGAGAGAATTATTTAAAAAGGAGTACAGAAAGTACAGAATTAGCTTTTACCTGTACAATTTCTGTTGACATTTGTCTGGCTGTGGATGACCAGGTGTTTCCATTTCCTGATGACATTTTGATTAACTGCTTACCTGGCACCTACTGGTACAGTGCATGTTTCATGGTCTGAGCAGTGCACATGTAATATGTTTCATTTACTGTAACATTACTTCTTTTTTGCAGTATTTTAGTTCTGGGGTATCTGTCTATATCTCTCTCTATGTATGAGCTGTTATTTTCCTTAAAATGAAATGGCTATGGGCTATTTTTACGATATGCAGAAAATAAAATGGAAGGTTATATTTATAGTATCAGTTACAGTAAAGGAAGCATTTCTGTTTGAAATTATTCCTATTTAATAGCCTGAATATCAGTCAGTGAAGTTGAAATGACATATTTATTTCCATTTCTTTTGGGAATTAGCATGTGCTGCTGATGCAGAGATATTTTTTGGTTTCAGCAGGAATAATCTTTGAAAATTTTACTAGTACTCCTGAATCCAGCCCAACTGTAATATTTTCTTTATGATTCTGACCTCTCTAGCCGAATTTGTACAAGAAAGCGTGCATGTTTGGTACTATGTTAATTATTAATTTAGTGCCAAGAGTAAAGTTGGCCTAAAGTTGACTGTCTATAACAAAGCTTCTATTTTTGCTAGTAAAACTGATGGTCGATTGCAGTTAATAGACATCATATATTCCAAGTAGGCTGTTCTGAACCAATACTTCTGGTCGTTAAAAATAAAGAAAAAAACACAATCCAAAACAAAAAACCAATGAACTTGGGTAATGCAAAACCAGCATTAGCGGAAGAGATGATCTTAGGCTTTTTGGGACTTCTCCCAGGAGCCTTTTTGAGTAAAACATGTGCATTGTTGAGTTTTATAATTGACTGGAATGATAGATTTAAATCTCTACTGAATACTTAGGAAACTACCTTAAATGTGTTACAGTCTTCTATTATCTGATTAGGGATCAGTATGACTAAAAGTATAACTCTTTATGTGGCATAATATTTTCAATGGCATAGTTATGACTAATGTCTTCCATGGTCTCAGATTTTAATGTAAGCTGTTCAGGCAGAAGAGTAATCCAAACTGTACTGAAACCCTTAGGTTTTCTGAGGTGAGATTGTAAGAGGGAGGTAAGTATATAAAGCCATTTATTTTCTCCAGAAAGCTACTTTTAAAACCAAAACTTCTAAAGCTGAATGCCTGGCTTCACTGAAGTTGATTAATATCTTGTATTCTGTTTTCATACACTGAAATTGCTCTTCAGTGTACAGTGAGGAGAAAATGTTCAAAAACTGAATGAAATGGCACAATTTATAGGGACAGATTTCAAGGAAGATAAGAGATTTTCCTGTAAATGTAAAATGAAAATGCTGCTTGGGAATGACAGACTGGGAAAAAGAACTTTATTTCTAGAAAGGCTTTGTGTTTTTGTTATTGTTCTGTTGTGGTTTTAGTGAGTAATTATGGAAGGAATAGATGTAGTTATGCTTCAAGATATGGGATGAAAGTAAAAGATTTGTGCTCAGGTACCTAATTAATTGATTTGTGATTAGTGTGAAAAATACTTGGTCATGTTGAGCAGATAACTGTGATTTATAAACAGTTACAGAAATTCATGGCAAATTATCAGTATATGGCTACTGATCTCTCAGCTGATGTTTCTAAGTGATATTTAAAATGGCCCAATGATGTTACCATAGCTTGAGATATCTAAACTTGATGTATCTGTCATGTCTAATACTTCCTTTGCCAGTGATTAGCTGTGTTTTGCAAATAGTGTTGGTTTGCAGAGGGACAAAATTTTGAAAGTGATATTTAATGCATTTTATTTTTGTAAGATGGTTTAGAAAGTGTACACATGTGATTTTAGATACCTCAGTCTGAGAGGGAATGGGAAAAGTCCCCATGGATTTGGTTTTTTTGTTATTGTTGTGAAGGAAGGGCACATCAGTGTTGGTAGTTTTTGATCAGGAAAGTTTCAGTGGATTCAGTTGTAGTTCTACGGCTTTAAGCATCTGTCCAGATTCAGAAGAAATAACCTTTTCCTTTTTTTACTTTTGACTTCTCACACAACCTTATGGTAGTGTTTTCTTGACTACAGCACATTGAACTTCATAACATGCACACTTTATGTTAGAGAATATGTTCTTTTTCTCTGATACTAATCTGTAGGGGATGTCTTGAGCCTTTTAGACCTTAATCTAAAGGTGTTTGGGGTCAGCTTGTGAGTCTGGAGCTCTATACATCGGAAGGATGTTAGTGCTGCTTTAGACTTTGTGTTTGTCCCTGTTCTCTGCATGGGTGTGTTTATGTATGCATGAACTTATATTTATCTTTTCATAACAATATACATTGGCTTTACATGGGAATTAGATGCAGACAGAAAGCATTTGTCTAGATCTTCTTTATTAAATGTATCAGCAGATTCATTTAATAAATAACCTTGGAATGATGGCTTCTGTAAATTTTCGATGAAGTTTGCAATATATATTTCTCCTCTAAAGGTTTTAAGGAAGCAAGATGTTAAAGCAGATGAAACAGAACTCATGAGAAACAAACTTGTGAAATATGAAAGCGAAAAGCACCAGGTAAGACTTAATTTTTTCCTTTTTGTGTGGTTTTAAATGAGTGTATAGTGTCATCTGTTACAGTATATGCTTCTTTTTTCTGAGAAACCAGCAGAACAAAACTTTCTTTACTCTTTAAGAATTCAAGGTGTGGGATTTTTTTCTGCATCAGAGGCACTGTGACTACAGCTATGCTCAGTTTTTGTCTCTCCTTCAAAGCTCTCCAGTTATAGTATGTTACTTCTGGTGACTCTTCCATCCTTCCAGGCAGACAGATTTATAACTTGAGCATTATCCTTGATTTCTTTATATATTTTGTCTCTGAATTTGTATGTAGTCTGCTGTTGCTTATTTGCAGCAGCTCAAAGCAACTTTTCTTCATCCCTGCAGCTAACCCATGCTGGTTATTTTGCACCATAGTTATTATTAATTACTCTTACTGAACTGTTGCCATATTTCACTCTTTCTTTTCATAGAAAACAAAATTTCTTTTATTTCTATTCTAGTAGGATGCTAGGGCTGTATTATGCTTTCCCTGTTTTTTTTTCCACTTGGATCAAGTTTATCATCTTTCAAAGGTATACCCCTTTATGCTAAGCATTTATGTAGTGTAGTGTTTTATGTAGTGTTTTACGTTATGTTGTTCTCTTCATTCCCTTAATGTTGGTCCTGTTTACTTTGCCCATTTGCCAGGCTTTCAACATCCTCCTTGTGATTGCTATCTCAACAATAACTATTTCTGCTGTCAAAACCTCTATTTATTTCCAAGTTGATCTTTGAACTATTTATGGAAAAAGTCATCAAAAAATATTTGAAGCTTTTGCTTTCATTTCTTTTTTTTTTTTTTTTTTTTAATGGTCATCGGTGTGATGACTGTTTCTGGTTACACATTTTGAATATTATGTTTTATGAAATTTAGGGCACTTCAGTTTTTTAGTCTTCTTGTTTCCAGAATAATTCAAATACATCATCTTGCACAACACAGAAACCCCATAGATTTTACCAATTACAGTTCTACCAATGCATGTCATCTTTAACACTTCTTGGAATAAACTATTTACCAAAGGTGACTTAAAATATTAAGTCATTATTAATTTTGAGTTTGAAACTATGTTTCAAATCCAGGGACAATGTTTTTGAAACTTTGTTAAAACTTATCTTCCATTTTTTTACTTTAAACCCAGTAAAAATTTGCTTTTGTGATTTTTGTTTTAGGTGATATAAATTATTTTATGTCTTTATATGACCTAGAATATTGTACAAAAATTATAGACTGTAAGTAAAATTCTCTTTATGTAATTTAAATAAATATTGCAGGGATTTAGTACAAATGAAGCTTTGCTTAAAATTTTGGACAAATAAAAATACTGTGTATATTATACCACATTTTAGATAGATGCTTATATGGATGAATTTGTGTCAAAATTAAATGTTAAAATACACTTTTATATTATGATGACTACATTGCTTTTCTTTCTTCATCATCCTCTGAAATGAAAGCTTGAGCAGGAATTGGAGCAGTCCCGGAAAAAGTTGAGTGAATCTGAAGGCAGTAGAGAAGCTCTTTTGCATCAGGTAACTGCTTTAGTGTAGTAAAAATCCTAAGGTTTTCATATTAGATTGTGTCTGAGTCTTTTTATTTAATATTCTTACCTCATACTGTGATAAAATTGTTTTATGAAGGAAGGCATGAGGTATAGGAAGACAGGTTTGAGTGTGTGTAATATGTGGACTGAGCTCGTTATACTTTTTCTGCTTTCCAAACTTTTATGTGTATACGTTCATGTGTATTAATTATAGTAGTGATAGTAATGGTATGTTTTCAGTGCATAAACACATGATGTGAAATTTCCTTTCATAATATGCTTTAGAACTACTCCTATATTAGTAATCACTGTTCTGCAAAGCATGTGCTATAATTGGTGAAATGAGATAAATCAATGACCTAGAAGTATTTGCTACATTGTAACATGCAATAAAAGCAAATAAATACCTGAAAAAGTGTCTAAAAGTGTGCTAAAAATAATAGCTATTGATGTATGTATGATTAAACTTAAAATTTGTAGGAATTTGGATTATAACTTTAGAAAAAAGTCCTTTCTCCTAAACATCTTTCCTTTAGAGGGGCTGGATAAAAAGACTGAAATAACTAGGGAGGAGGCAATTGGCATTCTCATCTTTTAGCATTAGTTGTTTGACTTGTGTATCTAGCAGAAGTTTGAGTTAGCTATATTACTGCTTTGAATTTAAATAATTGTGAATGGAATATAGAGTAATATGAATTAGAGGTCTTTTTCTTCAATTCAACTTTAGCATGTTGGATTTTCTCTATTTTCCTACACATTGTCATCTTTCTAATAGTATAGTATAGTGCTATTCTATATATGATAGAAAGGAAAAATGTGAAGAGCCCCTGTGTTTCTTATGAATATATACATTGTATTTTTAAAGAGCACAATTTAAATAAAACATACTGTTTATTAAATTTGTATAGACATTTTCACTAGCTATGTAGAAAGACAGTTGCAGCATATAATATGGTAGCATTTTGTTTCGTCTAGAGAAATTAATGCCCATCTGTGGTCAACATAAATTGTTTCCTTTAATTTTGAATAATGAATTTGTGGCCTATAGGAAGTAGTTTGTCTTTTTGTTTACCATCTGCAGTACTCTCAAGATGTATTTTTATAAATATTTTTTGTGTGTAGTATTTTTTTAGGATTTAATAGAAGAATGGTATTTATGATTTTTGTTGTTTTTCATTAAACTTTTGATGCTTGTGCATATATTTTAGATTGAGGATCTTCGTTCTCAGCTTTTGAGAGCAGAAGAAGACCGTGTAGAATTGCAACATCAAATCTCATATGCTGCTATGCGTCGCCAGAGCTATCAGGATGTACAAGATGATGACAGGAGAATTAGAGCAGGTACAACTAATATTTTGCACTGGAGACCTGCAAGCTAGTTAATAGGCATGGACATTAATTTTATCTTAGAGCTGCAGTCTAATTCTCCTATTGTTTTGACAAAACCAGCCAATTAATTCCTCAGATTTAAGTTAATATGTATTGGCACCTGAATATTAACAGGCAAATAGCAATGACGGTTAATTTATGGTAAAATATTTTGATTTGCATGGTTAAAACAAATAAGACAGTTTTAGCAAACTGAATAGTGTTTTTACAGAAGAAAATTGTGTATTATTTTTAAATAATAATTTTCCAGAAAAGTTGCATTTCAGTCCATTTGCAGTTTGATTTCTGCCATCTTAAAAATCATAATAGGAGTCATTGATTAGGTAATTAATAAGGCTGATGACTTTCTGGTAGAATTTCTAAGCCACATGTCCCTGAATGGTTAAGAAAATTTTTCTGTATGATACAGTCAGGGCTTCTGTTTGCACTATGTTATAGTTTTAGAGTTGGAATAGTTTTATTTATAAGACGAATATTTTAAACAATTTGAAGATATAATTGCATATTAAATTACCACTTTAGCAAGGTCTGCAATTAATTGCTAGTTCTCTATCTGTATTTAAAATAGGCATTAGAGAAAGTCTTTATCTTTCTTCTTATTACCATAGCAATGTATTACTCAAGGTAGTAGAGAAATAGTGACTATTCTAGAGTCCAGTGTCTCTGGGACTGTTTAATTGGTTTGGCTAATGACATATTTTTGTATTTTTGTACTTCACCTTCTGAATTATCTTGGTTTTTAAAATAGACCTCTGACTCTGTGTTTTACAAACCTCATACAGAGCACTGGAAATGGGCTTACCTTCAGAAGTGTAATGCAAAATAATAATCTCAATAGTTTTTTCTCCAATCATGTTAATGTATCTGCTTAAAAGTTAGCTTATTTGAAACAATATGCCTTACATATTAATAAAAGCATATTTTAACTTTCCTATTGATCTTATAAATCAAAACAGTTGTAAAAATATGAAAAAAATAAAAATGTAATGTAACTCTTAAAATACATGCATACATTTATATAATTTTTGCTGTTGTGTTTCACCTTGCTGTGTTATTCCTGTTTCATCAAAGATCTATGGGTAGAAGACAAGTAGAGATTTTTTTTTTCCTTTTAACTCTAGTAGTTATTTATGACTTAAGACCTTTGAATTTCTGATTGAGAGAATTTATATCTTACTCTTATCAAAATCTTTAGTTGTAGTTTCAGGATTCAGACATAAAATTCTCAGATAATGTGACTTTCAAAGTGGGAGGTATTACTCTGGTGAGATAAAAACTTGGCCTTGAAGCTGATGGCCAAATTTCGTTTACACCAGAACCTGGCCACTGTTTCTGCCATCCTATTTTATTTTATTTTATTCAGTTTTGCTGCGGCTTTGATTGTTTTGGTTGGTTTTTTATTTGAGGAGAGCAGCTGTGTGCAGGGGGAAGATTGGAAACCCCTATAAAATGATGGAAAAGTACTGTTTTATTCTGTTATTAAAATGTTAATAGTTTATGATACAGGTATACCATTTTTTCACAGGTGTTTTGATGAAAATCAGTAGTTGTAGAATAGTCTCGAGTGGAGAAATAAATTGCCAGAAATTAATTGAGATAAAATTAATATATCATGAGTTGGTATTTCTACTGAATGTGTTGCTCTGTTCTTACTGTTTTACAGTAGCTGAAAGATATGAGAGAGAGAAGCAAGATCTAGAGAAACATATTTTGGAACTTAAAGCAAAGCTGAATCACAATGCTGTAATGTCAGAAGTAGAAGAACTGAAGAGATGTATAGAGCGTAAGGACAAAGAGAAAGCACAGCTTGTAATGCACATACAGGTGAGGTGGGTTTTGTTGGTTTTTGCTTGGTAGTGTTTTATTTTTCAAATAATTTTTCATCTGTTCAACATTAGGTGATAGATCAGGGATTAACCTTTGAAACTAAGAGCAACTGTCATGCTCATTATTTATTGTGTAAAGAACTTTGAAAAATTGTTTGAGTTTGCCAACTTTTTTCTCTCCCATGTAATACCAAAAAAGGTATTTGCTGTTGACTATGATTTCATGGTTTGGATTACTTCTCTTTCCCACATGCAAAGAAAAGTTGATCTGATTTTATCAGCACTTACTGTTAATAATGGTTTTTGGAACTACTTTTATAAGGTAGTACTTTCTTATTCCCCATTTCGTCATTCCTCAGAACTGAAGTTCAACTTTAAAACTTGAGATACCTTGTTCTCTGAGAGAGTGTAGTAGAGTAACAAAAGTAGGTTACAATTTCCATTTTTTTAGTGATTAAATTCAATATAGTAATATAATCATAAGTAATAGTAGTCTTCTTTGTGGTAAGCATATCATAATGTTTAATGTGATTCTCTATGAGAAGGATAACAGCAGCCTTTTGTACTGGAATTTTAGTTAGAAGACTTTGACCATAAAATGAGATCTAAGTAGGCAGTAGCGTTCTTATTGAAGATGGGAAGTTTCTGTATTTCTTGTTCTTGTATAGATTTGTCATTGGTAGTAGAATGGCTGAACAGTAACGATTTTCTTCTGTCTCCTGTGACTGTCAGGAGAAAAGAGTTTGTTTGCAAAACCATGTGTATTATTTTAGTAGTCAAGGACTTGACTTTTTGTGTTTTGGTGTTCTGTAAGCAAGAGATTTTGTATTTTTTTTCCTGATGTAGGTACTTATCTATGAAATGATATTGCATCACTTTGGAAATTCAAATGTAGGAATTTTTTTGTCTTCATGGATTTTCATAGATTTACAGGACTATACTCCTCCTTTGACTTCTGTTGCTCCTTTACCTTGTCAGCTTCTCTGCTGATTTAAATCAAACTAATACATCAAATTACGTTTGGAAAAAATGGCCTTCTTAAAAGTTCCTACATGCTTTATGAAATTTGGTCATTGAATAGGCTTAGAAAGACCTAAAGTGTTTCTGTAGAGGGTAAGATGAGCAGAACTCCTTTCCTGGTGTCCATCAGCATTTATATTCTAGCTGGTCAATAAAACCTATGACTAACTGAAAACATTCTGGGTTTTTATTTTGTTGTGCCTGAGAAACTAATTATTTTGGTGACAGGAATTAATGGGGTAAGAACCCACATAAAACAAATTATTTTAAACTTCTGCTTGTAGAACATGCTTTCTTGAGGGTCAGAATGATTTTATAATACTAATTTCCTGCCCTGAAAATACTCATGCAATAGTGCTCAGTTGGGGTCATTGTCATTTCTCTGAGTTAGAAATCTTTGACTTCCCTCATTTTCTCAACAGAAAATACTTTGTACTTCTTATCTGCTTCCCACTGCCTTTCTCCTACAGGGGCAGTAACAGGAAAATAACTAGTGTGTTTTTCTTTTAATGAGACATCAAGGAATGCAAGGATGTGAATTTCTAAACTTGTGTACTAACAAAGCATTTTGTCAAGCCTGTTCTAACAGCTGCTCCTATGAGATAGTCTGATTCCCAGTTGGAAGTGACCAGTCATGTTTGACTTGGGTGTGATTTATCTTTGTTTAGTGGGGAGAATCTAACTTGCCTCTGATGTACATGTGATACTAGAAATTTCTTTTGATTTATTGAAATGCCATTGTTTGCAACAATTTGAGTTGTGTGCGTTTTACCTTTAGCCTCCAACAGTTGCCATAAAATCACAGTGTGATGTAAAATGGAGAGGATGAAAAAGGTTAAAACGTATTCTTAAGCTCATGTTTAGAAGTGAATTCAATCTTAAATTAGTTTTAAAATTGAATATTTATTTTCAGCTACTCTAGTTTACGTAAGGGAGCGGTTGTGAGATCTTCCAAATGTATTTAACTGTCTTAAATACATTTTTCTGCATGAAGCCAAATAGATACGGGGCTGTTATGGCTAACTATTAAGACTGAACTATTATAACTAAGAAATAAACAAAGTACACAATTTATAAAGATGCAATACCTTACTTTCTCCATAAGTGTTTTTGGACTCTTTGAAGTCTTTTTGACTCTTTTAGCCTGAGAACTTGTTTGATTTACTAATTACACTTCATTTGGATTTGGTGTTAGTATTCTTATAGTATTGTCTAGTACAGCAGTCAGTTTGTCAAAATATTTCAGTTTTTCTGAGGGGAAATTATTGATATGTTTAATTAATGTTAGAATTCTTCAGTAATATAAGTCTTTCAGTTTTATAAATATTGATTCATATTCTCACTAAAATTTACTTTTACTTTTTCTTCTACAAATGAAGCTGTTAGCCAATTAAATGCCAGTAGCGCAAGCCTTTATAGAGCAGAAAGAATTTTGGCAACTGCACCATGTTAACACCGAGATGCACATTTATCATACATAACTAGAAATTCAAAAGCACAGATCACTACGCTTGAATCTCCTGTTTTGATATAGAAACAGAGTGTGGAGATACTTCCTCTGTCCTCTTGCTTGACAGGGTTGGCTTAATAAAATGTTGACTTGCTATGATGCTGTTTTCTACCTGATTTCAACTGTTGGGTCTGTGCTGGCTTAACTCTTTTAAGCAAAGTGCAAACTCTTTGTTAAGGTTTATCTAGTTTACACATATTGTAAAAATATAACATTAAAAGTCATTTTATACTGGTACATCCATGTCAAAATCCGGTTTTCCTCCCCATGCAAATAGCTCATGTTGATAAATTAGTTGTGCTTCAAGGTAAATATCTAAAACAAATGTTCCTCTTTTTACTGTACTGTAAATCAATAAATTGGAGGTTGATTTACTTCTACACAATAAGAGGAATGTTTGCAGTTAATTGAATGTTATTTTCTGTGTTTAAAATTAGACTCATATTTCATTAAAAAGTTTGTGTGAGTGGTAGTTTTGTTAATGAAGTGTGTACTCTGGGGGGAAATATATATAACTATTAATTTAAATAGTTATAACTATATAGCTATTTTTTAATGGTGCAACATTGAGTACTACATCAATTTAATCTGACATCCTCTATGGTGTCTCCAGAAAGACATGAAATAGGAAGTGATAATAGCATGTGTAATCACATGACTGAAAAAATGATGACCCATTTTAGAAAATCTGTGGAACAGTAAATGTAATATCTGATTGTATTTTATGAGGCTATTTTTAACTTCTGCTATACTAAATTTAAATCTTTGTCTTGAAAGAAGTATTGTCATCTGTTTTCATTGGAAATTAAGCTTGTTTTGATTAAAATTTGGCTAGTTGTAGCTTGTGAACTTGTTTTGTTATCTTTTTTAGCACAGCAAATACTATCTTGAAGAGATTGGTACAATTTACTGCCTCCTAGGAGGTGTTGGCTGGTTTGGACGGAGAAAAAAAACCCCAAACTAAGCAAATTACAAGGAGAGAACCCTTACCAACAAACCCAAGTCTCCCTCCTTTCCCCAACTTTGTGGGAGTATCTTTGTCTAAATTGTCATTCTATATCCATTTGTAAAGTTGCCCATTCTTTCGTAGATAAAATACTTTTCCATTGTCTGTTCTGCATTGTGGTCTGTTTATTTCAGGCTGCATCTGCCGTTCTTTTTTCAGTCATTCTGAAATCTAATCCTGTTTAAAGTATTTCAATCTCTTGAGGCTTGATAATATGTTTGACTGGCTATAGATCAGGTCTATCAAATTTATCTTTCATTAATGAAAAGGCTGAATGGTATGAAAGCAGTCTAAATAGGCCCAAAATGCAGAAAACTAATGTGAATTTCTGTGTGATGATCTCAGTAAAATACAGTTTTGCTAGTTTACCTTCAAAAACTGATTTCTGAGCATGTCCTTCCAGAATGTGTATGGACACTATTATTCCTGAGTTTCTTATGAGACTGTTCAGAAAAATATGATTTGAGAAATGCAGCATCTTGTATTTTTAAAAGGTGTATTTTCAATTTAATTCAATTTTGGAAGGCTTATATATGCCTCCTACATTTTCAAACATCTTTGCACTTTGTTCTAGAGGCATTTGCTAAGCTGCTGTAGTCTCTTTGTATTCAGTGCTATCAAATATACCTTTATTTAGCACATTGTTTTCATAAAGGCAACTGGCATAAAACTGGGTAACAATTAGCTCATAAACTATAAATTCCAGTGGTTGTGGTGAATGCTGTTTTGTCCTTTCCAGTTCTCTTTTTTCTCTCATCTGTTTACATTAATCTCCTTATATCTTACTATTTGGTTTATTTCTTATTTGTGTAGTGTGTAATATGTGGCCAATGATTGATCTCAAACTTACAGTACAGAAAAATAAGAAGAACAACCAGAGGAGGAACAAATGCAGAAAGAATTGATTAGTATGTATTTTATGTCTTGTGTTGGCATTCTTTACCATTCCAGAGGGGGAGGTTCTCTGGGCTAACAGGACTTCCCTTGATAGTCAAGAAGATCTTTATGCTGTTCATATTTAATAAAAATGTGATTTAATGTTGCTGTATGTTGTTTGATAAAGTTTCATACTGCATATCTTTAGAGAATGTTTGTATTTTGCTATGGTGATTCCAGGTGTTAACATCTGACCTGGAAAACAGGGAGAAGCAGCAGGAGAAAATGCTGGACCAGCTAAAGGAGATAGAGAATTGCTACAAGGCTTGTGAGAATGGACGCAGACAAACTGAACTCCAGTCTGCTGAGTTAGCTCAACAGGTTGAAGAGAGTACCAAGGAAGCAGAACGGTATCTCACTGAATTCAAGCACTCAGAGGCACTCAGGCTGGAGATTGAGAAAAAAAGAGAAGATTTGAAGGTGAGAGCCCAGGAAACCATCCGCCAATGGAAACTGAAGTGTAAGAAGTTGGATCGTGAGATAGAAAAGCAAAATCAAACTATCAGTGAACTGATGGACAAGAATAGTCAGGTAAGATTGGTTGATGTTTTTTGGTACCCTTTCCCTTTGTTTTAAAAACAAAGAGAAGGAGCTTGTTTATACAATGTGTGACTTAAACTGCTTTCTGGTTTAAGTTGTGGACCTCTTCTGTATAATTTTCAGAACTTTTTCTTTGAAAAATCAGTTTGAAAATGCATTGTGTAACATTTTTGTGTTTCTCGTTTGTCTTTGTTCTGTACGACAGACCATTTATTCCTTTCTTTTTCCTCCTCTAGAGTTTCTCATGAAAAAACATAGGTTTTTTTGGGTTTTGACTTAGAAGAATTCCTTTATTTGTTCAGCTGCTGACACTGTTTTAAAGACAAGCACTCACATCAATGCTAATGTTTATCATCCTGTATTGGAATAATAGTAGAAACCACCATTCTGTTGGCAGTGAGTCTGTGGGTTGTATTTTCCAGTGGATGGATCAAAAATGGCTTGTTTCTATAGTGGCTGATATAGTGCTTAACTCTGTGCTGTGAGCTTTTATCTTGACTTACATGCTCTGCTGGTGCAGTCTATCATATTGTATGGCTTTTATTTTACAGTGCTGTACCCTCTTTTCACATATTTTCTTATGGCATCCATCCAGTTTAAGTTACTGAATGTGATGGGCTTGAGATGGCTCTGTCCTCTGCTTTGTCTTGCTCAAAGATTGAGGTTTTCAAGGGCTAAATGAGATGCAGCATGGGATGTCTATTAATCCTGTGTTGTTTCTGATCCAGTGATCTGTTCTAGATTGGTACACGAATATGAGCATAGTCAAAACACAGGAGAAGTCACAATGGGGCTATTACTGAGTTGAAATTAATAAACTCTAGCAAATCTAAACTGTGATTCCTGGTGTTGCTGTTTCTCTCCTACTGCCTATCATATTCCTTAATTTTTATTATTATTTCCTCTATCCATGCTCCAACAATTCATTCTATAGTAACCTTGTATTTGTTAGCCCTAGTGCTTGTCTGGAAAAGTAAGATTCTCAAACATTTAAGAAGTTGGTCGCTCTGGCCTAAGAAAATGGAGGTTGTAAGGAGAGGAAGAAAACCTGAATAATTTCAAAATCATGGATGTCTGTCAAATGGACAAATAAGAAGCAAAAAGTAGAGACAAGTTGTGAATAAGAAGCAATAGCTCCCAAAAAGGTTCTGGAATCACTGTTCTTGTAAACACATAGGCTGGTCTTTGTAGATGCACTTGATAACACTAACCACGTTGAAATTTTCTTTGTTATGTAAGATTCCTTGATATGGATTTTACCTCTTTTTATGTGGCAAGTATATTCACATGCTAAATGCAGTGGTTAAACTTCGGCTTAAGCTCCATTTAAGAAATGCTGTCAGTATTTGTTCTTAAAGTTGTGACCATTCTGCCAACAGGTTTGTGGTAACTGTCACTGGTGAAGAAAGTTTCTTTTAAGATATAGAAGAACAAATAAACTGTTTGTCATTGTGAAGGAGAAAAAAGAGCAAATGATATTTTATGGTCTCGATATAAAGTTGGAAACAATTTACTTATACGGATATAATCAATCTAGATGCAGTATTTAGTATAAGCTTGACGTAACTAGATGAACATAGTTTAACTAGCTTTGAAATACAGACAATTAACATCTGAGACAAAAATCTGTAAAAACAATAAAGGAAGAAATGGCAGTTTGTTGTCTTTGATTTCTGTTAGAAGACTTCAAAGGGTTGATGGAAAATTTTCAAAATAGGGTTGCAGTCATAGCTTGCAATTTTGAGATTTTTGAAATATTGGCAGACAATGGATGTGCTATGGAAGGATTGTTTAGGTTTCATTCTTTTGAAGTTACTGGGATAATTTGGTTGAAGTTTTACCCATGTAGTTGTCCTTAATATTGTTTGACAGTGGAGTTTCTGGCATCTTTTGAAACATATGTTCTTTAAAGTATGTAATGTAGAAAACATACATAAAGCAAATAACTTATGGGTTGTAGTTTGAAATTTTACTGGAGTTTTGTTTTTTTGGCTTTTGGTGGTGTTTTGGATTTTTTAAGCCAAATCCTTTGAGTAGAATTACAAGATAGGTTTAGGAAGGTCTTTTTGTCTGGTAGGTTTTTTTCTGGAAAAACCCATGATGGTCATCAGTCCGTGTCCTCAATTTATTGTATTTGTATTTTGCTTTGTGTTGCTTGTTATTGATGTAATTGCAAATTGTTTTATTATTTTTAACTGCACACTTTTAACCCTAATTGCCTTTTTTTCTGTATTGTTTCAAGTAATTTTGCTATATCCATAAGAAATGTGCGTTGCTTGTGGAATTGGTGAAAATGCTCAGTAAAATTTCGTATAAAATTTGTTAAGTCAGTTTAAAGAATTTGATATATTGGAACAGATTGCCCAAATTTGTTGCATAGTGTCCCTCACTGAAGTTATTCAAGAACCATCTGGATGCCATCCTGTGTCTGTGTTCTAGGATAAGTCTGCTTGAGCAGGGAGGTTGGACCAGATGACCCACTGTGGTCCTTTCAAGCTTACAAATTCTGTGATTCTGTGCTAATTTTAACATGAAATATATCAGTGGTGGAAAAAACACCCAAGCCCTGAAGATCCTAGGAAAACACTGGAATTTTTGTTATTTTATTGCACTTGATTGATTTCTATTTGGGAGATGATGTCATTATTTCTTGGCTTTGATGCATAAGTGAACCAAGCTTTTAACTGCTACTAATTCATCTACTGGGCATAATTTCAAAAATAAGTTAAATTTGGTATACTTTCTATGTAATATTTTAGAAAATAAACAAAATAAGTCAGCACATGGAATGGACTGTAGGCACGGTGTACATATCCTGTAGTCATCCCTGTATGCTGCTGCATTACTCTGTTACCTCATTTTCTCCATCTTGCTATTTGGAGAAACCAATAAGGAAACACTTCTCAGTCTGTAAAGAGAGAGTATGAGAAGCAGAGAATTAACCAGAACTATCCTTATTTAGAAGGGTATATAATTTAAGGACAAGTCCAAGTTTGAGATTGCACATGATCTATGTGTAAATTTAAAGAAACACTGAGTACATTTGAACTGAGTTTGTAGCAAGCAAAAATTTTATATTTTTGCTTACATATGTTAATTGTTCTATAGACATTCCTGATGTCTAAGGACATCCTTCCAACAATTGTCTTTAATTACTTCAGCTCAGAATAGATTTTTTTTTTCTTTCCTAGGCCCTTAAAGAAAAAGATGATCTTAAAAGTCAGCTTCTCTCAGCTATAAACCAGATAGAAAACCTACGGAAAGAGCTGAATGATGTGCTTACAAAGAGAGCCCAGCAGGAAGAACTTCTCCACTGTAAAGAGGTAAAACTGAATGAAATGGAGTCACACCAGGTATCTCTTGAAGAAGAGATCAAAGAAGTTCAAGGTACTGTAAAAAAATTGGAGAATGAGTTGAAAAATCAAGTCTTTCTACAAAATCAAATGCAAGCTGAGAAGGAACACTTGAAGACAGAACTTGCAAGTATTAACTTGTTTCATAAAAAAGACCAAGAACGACTCCTGGAAATGCAAGCAGATGTAAAACATTTAAGCACTGTACGTGTGGAACTAACAAACAGAATTGCAGAAGAGGAGAAAGCCAAAAAGGAATTACTTAAGAGCCTCTCAGACCTCCAGAAACAGCAGGAATCTAGTCATGAAGAGATGATTTCAGCTAACAGGCAGCTGAAGATGGAAAGAGAAATTCACCAACAGGAGTTGGCAGATCTTAGATCAGAATTACAAAATGTGAAAATCAAACATGAACAAAATGTTCAAGAACTCACGAAACTCCTTAAACAAGAAAAAGATGATGCAGAGGCTCAAATTAGAATGCTAAAGGTACTTATTGTGAAGAATTCCACTGTCAGACTTTCCCCCTCCTCCCACACACCCCACACACAGCCCCTGCCACTGAATGATGAAGGTAATAAAGCATGGGCTTTAAAGCACTTAACACACGTTATTGAAAGCCATTGTAAGAGTTTAAAGCTCAGGGTAAAAGTGTTACATTACCAGTTTTAGGTCAAAATCTTAGTTCAAAAATAGTAAAACAGATATGATCAAAACAAAAGGAAATTACAATGCTGTAATGTTTTAATATGGCAGGCAGGTGAAGCCCCAAGTGACTGGAAAGGGGGAAGCATTGTACCATACAGTCACCCCAGGACACCATCTTTTAAAAGGGTAGAAAGGAGGACTGTGGGAGCTCTGACCTGTCAGCCTTCTCTTTTCTCCTGGGAAGATCATGGAACAAAACCTTTTAGAAGCTATGCTTAGCCACATGGAGGACAGGGAGGTGATTTGAGACAGTCAGCACAGCTTCACCAAGGGCAAGTCCTGTCTGACCAACCCAGTGGCCTTCTCTGATGGAGTGACTACATCAGGGGACAAGAGAAGGGCTACAGTTGTCATTTATCTGGCCTTCTGTAAAGTGTTTGACACAGTGCCCCACAACATCCTTCTCTCTAAATTGGAGAGAGATGGATTTGATTGGTGGGCTGTTAGATAATAAATTGGCTGAATGGTCACATTCAGAGGGTTGTGGTCAGTGGCTCAGAGTCCAGATGGGGTCCTGATGTACAGCCGTGATGAGTGGTGTCCCTCAGGGATCTGTGTTGGGACTAGTGTTTAGTTATGTAATGTATCATTCATGACTTGATAATAATTCTTAAGCAATTGGTAACATAGAAACCTTTAAGTGAAGAAAGCAATAAAAACCCCCTAGGTGGTTGTTAGTAGAAGGATCATTAAAATCAAATGTTTTAACGGCAGTGCTTAACATTGGAGACCTAATTTTTAGTGTGTATATCATTATTTAAGTGGTCTGTCCAAAAGTGGTTTTTTCTTTGGCAATGGCATTGAAATTAAGAGTGTACATTTGATCTCAAGTGGAAAGAAGGAAAGTGTAATCTGGATGCTAATAAGAAAAAGTAAGTTGATTGTGACTTTGTTTTTCTGTGAAACAGCAAATCCTACAGGTAGGACCTTTTTATTTTTACTGTTTGTTGAACCTAAACCAGAGTATTAGAAAAATTCACTTTCATATTTCATTTGCAGTTCCATGACTTCCCCAGAATCCTAAACTGGCATATATTTAAGAGCAGAAGGTTTGAGGGAGATGAATTTTCCAAGATATTAGGGTAGGCCAATTTTTTAGAAGTATACACAGCGATAATGCACAAGGTTCCCTTGATTAAGAGACTGTAGATGAAACGAAATAGAAAATCATATGCGTCTCTAGGAAGATCTGATAAGAATATGTCATCCTGCAGTTGGTTTGGTTACTTTTTGTCTGAACTCATCATTACATTGCATTTGGATTTCAATTTTATGGTCATACTTTTCTTCCAAAGTAAGGTAAACTTAACATACATTTTATCTTTTTCCCCCTTTTTTTTTTAAAAGTATTTTGTTGTTAGAGTAGTGTTTAGCGAAATCCAACAGAAAACGTAGGGGTTTTTTAACCTTTTTTTTTTTTTAGAAGCTGCTAAGATTTTGTGTCTAGCAACAAGCTGTCTTTTACTGTACAATAATAACTGATCTTATTTACACCTCAGCTGTGTCCAACCTTTGTGACTGTTTTTGGAAAGGAATATACATATCCTGTCCAAAGATCATTAAAGATTTAAAAATAAAGGTCAGTTGAGAGAGACTTGAGGAGTGAAGGGAAATTTAATATATTTGTAGAATCCAAAGCCTTAAACTTGAAGAGGATGCATTTATGAGTTACTTCCAGGAAATCAAGGGGAGAGAGTCCTGTGTTTAGAGAACTAACTTCTGCATAGATTGTAAAAAGAAGTGACTTTCAATTTTAGTTGTTCTTTCCTCTCTTGCCTCCTCTGTATGGTACTTTCTGCCTGACTTTTGCCTTGTTTTCTGTAGTGCAGCACTGGATTGCAAAATTGTTAAGTAATTAAGGATTTTTTTGGGTAGTAGGGAAGGTACCATAAAAATACTGTATGATGCAAGAGAACTGGAGAAGAACATAGAGTTTTTTGAGGTACCAGTGTTAAGAAGGATCTTACTGTTTCATTACTGAGGTTCTAATGCTTAAACTTTTAATTTGGTTTCTGTTAGAACATCCTAAATGATTCCCGACCAATGCCTCTGTGATGTCCTATTTGGTATTTAAAAGGATTGATACACTAGGCACAGGAATTCAAGTGGTTTGCTTAGTGATCTCCATTTGGCTTTGTGCTCAGAAACTCTGGATCTGTCACCTAATTTTAATACATACCCTCATTTGCTTTAAAAACATGCTTGTTTTCTTAGAATAATGACACAAAATTTCTTGCTGCCTGACAGTATGGAAGTATTTGAAGTATTAATCTTTAATCTAAACTTATATAGAGATATGTATTTATACATATAAAATTGTGTGTATGTGTATATTTATTTGCAAATTATTTTCTCTACGTTTTCCCATTGTGCCATCCATTTTTTCCTGAAGATTATTCAATGTTGAATTTGGGTTCAATAAAGATTAATTAAATTATAGTCATATTTACCTTCTCTGTACTGGACATTAAGTATTAACTTTCTCTTCTGTGTCTCAAGGGTAATATAGGTGAGGGATTTTTTCTTGGATTGTCTCCATCTGCATAGATACTATAATGCAATTACCTTTAGTAGGAACTGAAAAGTTGATGTGTGTAAGAATAATCACAGATAATGTTTTGGGCATTGCAGGCTTGTCTTTGTGGTCTTAAGACTTTAGACTGTGGATGCCAAAGTTCTTTCTCAAATTGTCCTTTGGAAGAGTTTTTGTAATCCATTTAGTGTCTAAATTAGTGTCAAGATCTAGTGTCTAAATTAGTTCATAAAACTTCTCTCCATATCCTTCTTCCTCGTAGAAGTTGTATTTGTAGTGTAATTGGGAAATAGAATTTTTGCTTTTCCTCAGAAAGAAATATACTTTGCAAGTTTATTTTTGTGTTTAACTGCATCCCATACTTCATCTAATATGAAACTGGTTTTGAGGAATGTGTGTGTTAATTTTCTCCTTTGTTTTATTTTCAAAAAATTTTCTAGATATTGTAGAGCATTTCTCAAATCTTTCATTTTCAGTCAATTATTTTTTTCACTGGAAACAAACATACATTATTTTACTCATTGTTTTGGGGCTTTCTAGATCATTACATGTTTTCTTCATTTTTCTCTGCAAAGTGTCATGAGTAGCATTAATCGTACAAAGTAATAGCACTAAACCCACACAAATCTAGAGCTTAAAAATACTAAATCTTTGCTGTTGTTTCCTTATAGATATAAATTTAGCATTGGTTCCTGAAATTAAATGAGTTTTAGACTTTCTGATTCCAAATTATTTTAGTAATGGAAAAGCTGCATAAATACTAGACTTCTCAGGATGATGTAAGCTGATGAGTGTAGCAGAGCTGAAATTAAGAACCTGAGACTTCTATTTTCTGCTTTTAAAACACTGTATGGTTCTGCAACTCTGTGATGTGTTTTTTTCCATGTTCAGATAAGTAATTGCACTTAGTAGAGCTTAATTTAATTTTGTACATTTATCATTTGGCAGTAGTGTTCCACTATATAAACTATAAAACTTTAGAGTTTGGATGTGTTTTAAAATAACCCATAGAGTGACTTTGTAATCTTTTTTCCCTTTACCATCAGATGGAACTTTTAGAAGAGAAAAACATAGTCAAGGCTCAGTGTCGACAACTGGAAAAAATAAAAGTTGAGTGTGATAAATTGACAGAAGAATTAACACAGAATGAGGAAGAAAATATAAAACTAAAACGGAAATGTGAGCTTGTAAAACAAGAACTGGAGGAAAAGGTAAAATTAACTGATTTTAACCATGATTTGTTTCTCTGCTGATAATAAATACCTAAAATAAATGCTGGATCATAGAAATAGATGGTAAACCTAAAAAACCCCAGTACGTATGTATTAAAGAATACACTCAGTTGTGCCACAGTACATGGTTTCTTTATGAATGAAAGATGACAGAAATGCTTTGGCTGGATCATGAACTGAATCCCTCCAAGGATTCGCTATTATTATTTAGGACTAGAAATATAAATCCTGTTGCTTGCCTGATCTCTAATATAGCTAACTAACAAATGTTTAATCAGTCACTTCTAGTTTTCTTCATATTTTTCTTCAAGATGCAGTGGAGCTGTGAATCATTTAGAGATAATTTGAAGTAGATATGCAATGTAAGCACAGTAAAAGAAATTCTAACTAATGTTGGGGTGGAAGATTTTTGGTTTTTTGGGGTTTTCTTTTATAGTGTAGAGTTAAAAAAATGTTAAATCTGGCATTTCTTTAGCTTGCTAAACTATCAGGAAGTGGTTTAAAAGCTCAACTTAGACTAGTAAAAATACTTGAAATGAAAATTCAAAAATGTGGTTTTTCTATGTTGGCATTTTAGTTGTATAATATCTATTATTAAGAAAATGTGTTTATAGGGATGCACATGGGATTCTGTAGTCAGTTGTGTATTAGCTCAAACCTTACCTAATATTGAGAAGATACTCTTTTTCCATTGAAATCATCTTTTACCTCTAAATTGAAAAATATCAGAGAAGGTTTTAAGCATGTGATCCTGTGGTCTCAACTTTTGAAGGTAAAGGCAGATAGTTAGCTTGCATTAATGGTTAACTTAAGAGAATATTTGCTATTTTGGTTTTGTGGGTTGTCAAAAGGGATGTTAGGATGGGGGAAATAATATTACCTCTTGGGAAATCTCATGCTGGCATACACTTGTGGCAACACAGCAGAAGCTTATTATGTTACAGAGTATTTTTTTTTTCCATGCTTTTTATACTTTTAATATTCTGTTCTTAATGCAAATACTAATTCAAAGGGGCATAGGTATTATAGCTAGCTTAGATTTATTTTTTTTTCATGAAAGGTGGAGGAGCAGAGCATAATGGTTGGTTTCTTTCCTTTTCCTTCTGTGCACTTCTGAGTCATTAGTGACTTCTTTTTTTTTCCTGTAGGCTCTGGATGTAGAATGATAAGGAATGTTGGCACATTCAAAAAATCAAGCAGATAAGAAATAAAAAAATAAAGTTATGTGTTCTGTTTTAGTCATGTCTTTGGGGATGAACTTTGACATGATGGAATGCATTTAGTGAATAGTGAGGTACCAGAATACAGATACTGGAAATATATACAGTGCAATCTTACTGCTTTCAGAATACTAGTCTAGGTCAAAACTGTTATTTCAACTGCCATCTTTCAACTCCCATCTTTATATAGTACAGAAATACTGGAACCTGTCCATCTTAAAAAATCTTATGATTTCTTCAGTTTGAAATAACTACTTTCCCATGTATTTTTGTATTAATTAAGTGAAAAAATCAGACTGCTTATCAGGTATTGGTGTTTCACATTTGTAGGCCACCTACATTAAAAACTCCTGTTTTGCTAGCAGAAATAAATACCTATACATATATATGTATACAACCTCCTCAAAGGAGGTAGCAAGGTGGATGTTGGTCTTGTCTCCCAATTAGCAAGTGATAGGACAAGAGCAAATAGTCTTAAGCTGTGTTAGGGGAGATTTAGATTGGATATTAGGGAAAAATTTATTCAGACATTGGAACAGGGATTGCTTGGAGAAATGGTTGAGTCACCACCCCAGAGGTGTTCAAAAGACATGTACATGTGATGTTCAGGGATATGGTTTAGTGGTGGACTTGGCAGTATGGGGTTTTTAGTTGGACTCTATGATAACTGAGTTCTTTTCCAACATAAATGGTTCTGTGATTCCATATATATCCCATTCATGGAACTTGGGTGTTAGGCATTACCTAACTCTGCATCGGTGTCTCATAAGAGCAGTGTATGAAGATTTCCAACAATTAGACTTCAGACAGTTGTACCTTGTCATTGTGGAGGTCCACAATTAATAAATTTTTGAAATCTTTGCTCTTTTCACCATTCTTGTTGCAACTTGCACACATTGGAATTTGCCTGTTAAAGTGCTTGCCCTTTGTTGCATTACATCCTCCTGATCTCAGCAGCAGACAGGTGTGTTTCAATTTCTCTTATTCTCACAAGATAGGTTTTTCTATATTATTTATGATGCATAATTCAATACTTTGTGTAATCTAGCAGCAGTTTTACTTGGTTTTATGGTAGCTCTATCATAGATATAAAAGAAGAGAATCTGAATTTTAAAAACATGTAACATATTTAATCAAATTTTTGACATTAGCTGATAACCTAAAATACTTTCCTCAGTGCCACTCACTCTCCTGTGAGATATTCTTTGAGTAGTTTTCCTTGGAGGGTACACTGACTGCCAATAAAAAGTTTCCTTCTAGGATCTCTTTTCTGATGATAGAGATTAGATGCCTAGAACAGATTCAGGGCAAAAGATAATAATGGGAGTATTTACTCTGGGCTCTTTTTCTACTCATGAGGAGATTTGTAATAGAACATCTATTTTTGACTTTGAAAATAGGCTTTATGATTGTAGAGTTTGGATTTGGTAGCAGTTTCTTCATAGCTGATTTACAGGATAATAAGGAGAACCAAGGGAGGAACTTAGAGGTGCTATTAGAAGGTATTTTTTTTCCATGGCAAGGAGTTGAAATTAGCATGACTGCGTATGGTCTGATTTTGAGATTGAATGATACATGGCTGATGATATATGTTATATTATTAATGCAATTACGTATCTTTGTTTTGTTTTTCCTTTCTCACTCCAGGAAAAACAGATCAGCAATGAAGAAGATCATTTGAAAAAGATGAGTGAGGCCAGACTGCAATTTAAAGATCAACTGCGTCAATTAGAAATGGAACAGCAATCCATTCTCTCCATGATAGGAAGTGAAATTGATGCTGCTTGTGAAATCTTTTCTCGGGACTCCATGGAGAAATTAAAAGTAATTCTAAGTTTTAAGTATGCTGCAGGTTTTGTTCTTTTCTTGGTGAAAGTTTGCATTGTTGCATAGATAATCATTCTAATATAATTATGGATATTTAGCTGGTACAGAAGGACATTGCTGTGTATAAGAATGGGATAGTGCAAAGGGCTGTCCATGCATTAATTGGTACTGTTTTCTTTTTTTTTTTTTTCTTTTTTTGAGAAATATTTCTCCTCTTGCTTGTGTGAAGGGACCTTTTATTAGCCAAATTTTTGAGGTAGGTTTTCTTAGGCCGTGTTCCTGGAATTGGGAAATCCTTAAAAAGGACCTTAAATGCTTTTAAAATTGGGAGAAAATGAAAGAAATTTTTTGTTGAAAAATCACTTTAATGCTTTAGTTCTTATGTAGAGAGCTGAATACTGAAAATGAAAAGAGTTTGACCTCCTCTTTTGAGGAGCAGGTCCTTGTATCCAGAAAACTCAGACTCAAATTTTCAGGGAACTGGTAGCTTGCTGTAACCTTTTTTTTGCAATTTTAATACTTCTCCTGCAACCCCTGTCTCCCTGTAGCTTTTCTTCTGAGCATTCTCATTTGCTTGCACTCTTCCTCCCTTGATATGATTCTACGTGACTGATTCTCTTAAATCAACATTGTACATTTCTGAGAATATAGAGAACAGACTGTCTGACTCAGCTTGTCGCCACACTTACAGTTGCTTGACCTAGTGGCTTTTTAGCCTTAGCTACAACCCAGAGTACACTCAGATTGCATCTTTTTTTTTTTTTTTTTTTGTCTTGCTGTTTAAACAGAAAATACTTTGTAGCTCTTGGTCATGGACTGCTTTTGAAATAGATTTTTTTTTCACCATTGACACATTTCTCCACTTACACATGGAGCTGGAGTGTTGCAACACAAAACTACATGAGAATTCTAAGACAATGTATTTGACAAACAAGCTTTCTCCTTTGTATCCTTACAGATAGGTCTTTTTGTTTTATTGAGTTTTATAATCTGCTGTAGTTGCCAGATTTTTGATCATTGAGCTATGACTTCTTGGATTTGTTCCTCACCTTGTGAAGATTTTTTGGTTTCTGGATAAGGTTTTGCAGATCCCTGTTTATACAATTCTCCTTGGTTTTTTATCACTGGCCAACTTAAACCAGTTCTGAATGTGAATTTTTGACTAGACAGTTAATGTAAAAAAGAAAGTTAGTTTTGTGGTCCTGGTATGAATTTTCTTTCTTTAAGGTAAGAATCTTCCTTTATAATATTGTTCCTCTGCTCAGTACTTCAGGTATTGCTAAGGTTTCTAAAAAGTTTCACCCTTTACTTCAAGAAGTTGCTGCTGCAGCTTGGGTAAGCAGGAGGAATTTGATGGATAAATATTTGTATTGAGAGAAGTCAAGCACTAGGCTTAATCTTCCTTGATAAGAAATGTATTTCTTTGATGAATTTCCAATAAGCAGAAAAGACTTTCTTCTTTCTATGCCTAATTCCCATTTTATGTCTCTTTCTTTGTCACCTGCTTTTTCATAGGCAATGTCCCTTACACCAACAGTACTGAACGATCCTCATCGCTGGTTAGCAGAAACAAAGGTAATAGTCAAACCTCCTGAAATTTTACTGAGTAAGCTAATATTCAGCATTTGATGGTGTAGTGGGAGGTGTCCCTACACAGGTCAGGGGCTTGGAACTAGATGATCCTTAAGGTTCTTTTCAACCCTAACCCTATATTATGGTTGAGTGAGGGGGTGAGTCTGTGAGTGGATGGATCTGATTTATTTAAAAGTCCATTTGAAGTGGCACTTCAAGGGTAAAAAGAAAAATATAAAAGCATACCTTTGGCAATTATTCTGATGTTTCCAGACTGTTCTCCAAATGTTTCTATCAACAAGAAATAGCCATCTTTATGGCAAAATAAATAGCAATGTTGTTTTCACAAAAAAAAAAAAAGCCATTGAAGTAAGTGCAGTGATAGTGTTTAGATCTGGTTCAAATTTTTTCAGACAAGTAAAGCAGAGGATGTAGTCAGCAGGTTAAGTTTCTCTTATAGCATTATCACAAGGCTAGAAATTATTTTAAATAAGGCTGGTATTTATTCAGTCTAAAATATATTAGATTGGATTCTTGGAAAATGAACGATTTTTCTTTCCCTGTTGAAGCTTTCAAATCCTATAATGTGGGGGCACACATGCTTAAGGACACCTTCAAGGTGATGACTGTAACTCATAAATCTTGCCTTTCATTTTGCAGTTTTCTTCCAGCTCCCTCAGCTCACATGCATAGAATGCTTCTTACCCAGTATCTTTTAAAAGAAGTAAATTTCTCATGATCAAAATAGATTGCGAACTGTGGAAGACAACTGTTGTTTTTGCTTCCTATAGAAAGGTCAAAGCCACGGGAGAATTGACTTAAGGAAAAATAGTTGCAAGTGTTTGCATGTAAGAGAAGGTTATTCATGGTGTGTGGTCTGTGTAAGACTTGTAGACCAAGAAAGACTTCCACTATACATAACAGAGATAGGATTGGAATCAAAGGAGGAATGTTATGGAGGAAGTGTTTTCTGCATTTGAAAAAGTGATACTGACATATTATTACAAAGAACTTTCAAAGAGCACCTAATAATACTTTGCAAACCTAAGTTTGTTTAGCTGCTAGAGGGAAGTTTAGAATGAATGACTGCTTAAAATGCCACTTTTATTTTCTTTTGTTTTAAATAGGCTGTGTGAAAGTTTCCATATCATATTCTGTTTGATCACTTCTAGATTTACTAAATTGATCACAGCCAAAAGATCTCAATGAGATCTTTTTCTCCTCTGAGTGAACCTTAAATATTGACTTTTGCTGACTAGAAAGGATTGATGTCACTTTTTCAGAAAGGGGAAATATTTTAAGTTCTGCCAACATAAAATAGAGAGAAAAAGGTACTCTGAAAGGAAGGCCTGTCTCTTGGTGTCTATGTGTGCACTAATTCAATGTGAATTTCCACATCTACCCTAGCAAATTCATGCTTCTGATTTAAAAGAAATAAAATAATATTAAAGAAAATCACTTTTCACATGTAATTATCAACCAAAATGTGTCTTTGATCTCTTGAAAATCAACTTATGTTCTCTTAATATATCTGATTGCCCTCTATTATTATTTTTCAGATAGTTACAAATGAGTAATTTGTGACTCCAAAGATACATTGAACATTTATGGTCAGTGAACATTTATGCCCTCTTATTTTTATTAGAATTCTTTACTTTTTATTGTACCTTTTGTTTTAAATGTAGACTAAGCTTCAGTGGCTGTGTGAGGAGGTAAAGGAAAGAGAAAGTAAGGAAAAAAAGCTGCGATGCTACTTGCTGCAAAGCCGAGAACAGCTCAAGCACTTGACACAGATAAAGGAGACTGAACATCAGTCTCTCTTTAAACAGATAAAAAGCCAGGAAAAGCTTTTGGATGAAGTTCACAGAGAAAAAAGAGGTATGTTATGGATTCCATTTTTATTAATAAAAGGGAGAAAGAATTTAAAATTCTATTAATTATAATTTCTATGGCACATTCATTTTATCAGCTAATTATTTCAAACTGCAGTGGGCTAGTGCTAAGAATAATGCTTTGTTTGTGGTTTTTTGTTTTCCCTCGCTGGCAAAAACGGCAAATGCAGTGGCTGAGTAACACACGAGTTTACATCATGCACAGTGGGTATAGAAATTATTTCCCAGCTGTACCATCTGGGACATTGCATGACCTGGGCAAAAAGAGTCTGAGGCCACTTGAGTTAGATTGCTATTGCACAGCTCACTGTGTCATGGTATGATCTTTCATTGTCTTCTGTTCCCTCAGTTTTGGAAGAAAGGTGTCACCTTTTACATTTTCTTCAGAAATCTTGTTCCCGGCCTTTATTCAGGACTCCGTACTGATATAACTGGGCAGAATAAGTATTCTCTTTCATTATTTTGTTAGTTGTCACTTTGTGCTGATTGATGTAGATACAGATAAGAGTAAACTTTTAGTAAGCATAGTTATAGCTCCTAGTAGTTGACTTATTGAAAATGTTTTGTGAATTGCAGCAAAAAACAAAACTGCTTGGTATTGGCAAGAACAAAGTTAATTCTCTTCCTAGTAGCTGAAATGTGCTGTGTTTTGGATTTAATATGGATAGTAATGTTGATAACACACTGATGATTTAGTTGTTATACAACACACTGATGATTTAGTTGTTATACCCTAAATCAAGGACTTTTCAATTTTCCGTGCTCTAATAGTGAGATGGTGCACAAACAGGTGCAAGGGTGCATGGCCAGGCCAGGGGAACTGGCAAAGGGATATTCCATATATTAGAGTATTATTCCCTGTGCACAAACACAGGAGAGTTGTCTGGGAGGAGCCAATCACAGCTGGAGAAGGGGCTTGGTGGTGAGCAGTGATACTGTACATCACTTGGGGTATTTTTGGTTATACTTCTATTTTTTTGGCATGTGCATGTAATGACAGTGCATGTGACAGTGTATGCAAGATTACAATCTCCACGTAAATTTAATTGGTTTCTTTTACAGTCATGTCAACTTAGATTTTTCTTTATAATTTGAAAATTATTACTTTCATTATACCAAATGAGTTATTTTTTAAAAGTTGTAGAAGGTGGAGAAATAATAGAATGGATATCTGTTAATCTGAGTTTTGAGTACTGTCGTTCACCAAGGGGTACATTTAAATGTTCAAAAAGGGCTTTTTATTAAAAAAAGGGTACAAGATAAAGTCTGACTGTTTTTATGTCTTGAACAAATACTCTTACATACTGAATGAAAAGCCCAGCCTTGATTATGATGCAAGTAATACAAGAATGTACATGTAAATAGTTTAATGGATAAATGACTTCAGCATGAAAATTGGAAAAGCTACTTTCCCAGAGGGGAAAAAAGAAAACGCAGATAAAAGCATAAAAAAGGTGTTAAGCCAAAAGGAGAAAGCAATCCATCAAAATGATAACAAATTTAAATTAAGGATACAGAATGCTGGTTGGCTTTTCTTACTCAGATGTAAAAAATGGGAGGATTTACACAATACTAAGGCACCCAGTAATGAAATCATGGGCAATTCCCAGATGTAGGAATAAGCAAATGAAGGCAGAATGTATTTAATTGCTATAAAAAGCCCTTCACTTTTTTTTTTTAACACCAAAGTATCCTTAAAGGTACTGCTAAATAAAATAGATATTTAGTCAAATTTGATCAAATGGATGAAAATATTTTCTGCTGGAATGATGCAGATTTTAGATGGAGCATTTTATCAGATTCTATGAATAACCATGAATATCCATGGATGTAGTTGACTGTCCCCACTGACACAAACCGCTTGTCTGAGTACCTGATATAGTCTGAAAATACTACATTGATTTAAGTTCACATCAATCAAAACTTACGCAAATGAAACAGAGAAATTGTATTGTCAAGAAATTGATTTGTTAATTTCCTTTCTATGGATTTGATAATGTAATTTACTCATGGGGTTTTTTTGGGGAGAAAGAATAAAAATAGAGATTTATGGTGGACATATCAAAAGTAGGTGGCATAAATATTTACATGGCTTTGTTGATGACTGTGTTTTAAGAAGTTTTATTAGCTTAAATAGGTCTACTAAAACTTTTAACTATGTATTTTTTGTCTTTTCCCTTTGCCAAGGCATTTGAAAATACCTGGGATAATGTAGGCTTTTGAAACCTCCTTACGAATTTTTGTAGAAGTGTTAACATTATGTTATCACGTTGGTACCTGTGGTGGTACAAACTGGCCGTCCAGTGGTATAATCCTGACAAACACAAGTAAACTAACATGGAGATTCATCCATGAGGGAATAGAGAATGAAGCAAAATAGCTTTGTGAAGTGCAGAATTTCAGGTTTGTTTACAGAGCAGCAGAAGTTTCATTGTTATCTGGTGATGCTTCAAGATCAGCTACATTTGTCTTCCATTGTTGATAAGAGTATCATAATGGAGAGTTTAGAAATTCAGAAGTCTAGCAATATTTATAAATATAGAAGAACTGAAGAGGAGGTGACTTCTGAGTTCAGGTTTGCAGATTGGTACTTTGGATGCAGTTCACTACTGAACAAGGTATTTATGTAGCATGCTACACAATGGGCTATTTCAGTAACAACTTGGATTCTGTGTTTCATCTTAGAGTGATTTTGGTCATATAATCAAATTTATTGCACTAGATATTCAATATGTTAACAAAATAGACAACAGTCTGAGGAAATAGAATGTATAAGGTCCAGTTTCTTAACTAAGAATTTAATTTGCATTCCGGAATCACTGAGCATGCCATGGTGTTCTTAATATCAATTTAAAAATCAGTTTAGGTAACAAGAATTTTATTTTTATTATTTTTAATGCCATTGTTAGCAACTGTACCTGGCACAAAATTTCTTTCATTTATTTTATTTCTGTATGATCTAGCCAGACTGTGTATTTTGAAAAGCTCATCTTTCAAATCAGTGAAAGTCTGTATTTGATCCTGGGTGGACCCAATGGTTTTATAAACTCAGATTTACTTTAATTACCTTTCCAAGAAAATCTTGGAATGTACTGATGTGTATATAAGCTAGACATAATATGTTATATAGTGGTGGACATGAAGTCTGCACAGTTCTTTTGTTTGAGGATAATATACTGCTACTTCAGAGAAGACATGGATAGTCAACAAATAAATGTTTAGCAAAATAAGACCTGACATATTTGGCAACACCATATCTGTTCTTTTTTTAAATGAAACAATGTTAGTATGGCTGTAGTGATGTAAGAAGAGGAGGTGCATTGCTTCTATTTACAAGACTGATTTAATTTGTCTCAAAATATTCTGCAAATACTGTTTTACACAAAGTCCCAGGTGATGCAGGATGTATTCTGTATTGGTTCTGAGCGTCTACTGAAATAATGCTCTACAATAACATTTGAATTATTACATATTTGGAATCTCTTATATAGGTATAACTTTTATACCTATACTGCTGTATATACTTATACTGCTAAGTAAAGCTTAGGAAGGTGACAGTTGTAGTCCTGAGCTGTGATAGACTAATGATAGATGCTTTTGTCACAGGCACAAAACTGTTCTGGGCAAATGTGTGGTGTTTTTCTTTATGTATTAAGTTTATCACTCATGCCTTTATCATTGTGCATTGTCTTACATTTGAGGTTACAATAGCCAAATTTTGAAAGACATTTTAGCTGGTTTTAGTGGTGGTGTCAGCTCTATCAATCATACACAGTTGCCTCTAGTTTCGTCACTTTAAACAAGTAAAATTTACAAAGATTTTGGGACGTGATTCCTGAAGCAAGACATCAGTTTATTTTAATTTCTTTTTTTTCTGTTAGGTTCAGTCAGGATTATCTGTTATTCAGCTGCTGTGGATAATGTAAACTCAAAAGAGCCTGGTATATTAAAGTAGATTATAAATACAGGTAAAGTTTTGCTTTGACAAAACCTAATCTTTCAAATTATATTTCTTTTTTTTTCTGTTTTAAAGTCAGGAAGTCAAATTTTTGTTTGAGTCAGGAGCACTAAAGCAGAAAGAGTAGAAATTTAAAATAAGAAACAGTACAGTACATTGAATGTAAATATACTGACACTGAGCAATCTCTGCTATTAAACTGAAGAAAAGGATGAGATTGGAAGCCAGTGAAAATCAAAACAGTGTAAAATCTTTCTATTCTATTTATTGTGAAATCTTTCTATTATGTTTCATTAAATAATAAAGTGCATATGCTGTTTTGAAGACAACTTTAAGCCTTATTCTGCCTTTTCAGCTTTGATTCTTTCTTTTTTATTACATTTTTTTCTCATATATTGCATGATATTGCCCTTGTATGAACAAGAGTCCTTTCTGTGGCAGCAAGAAACATCACAAGGTATTTTCAGGTCATCTTTTATTGAACAGTGAATGGGAGTGTCAACTAGAAAGAACACTCTTTTAAGCATACATACAGGAAGGAATCGGAAGGATTTCAGAGAAGCTTTTCTTAGTACTTGGTTTTCATATTGAGCTTCAAAATGCATAAAGTTGAAATATCATTACTATCAAAATAATTGATTTCTTCTTAATAGTGTTCTTGCCCTTTAAATAATGCTTGGTTTTTTTAATGTGATGGGGGAAGGAGGAGGGAGGACTTCTAAGTTATTTTAAACTTTGCCAAAATGAACCTGCGTTCAGAGTCCTAGAAGAATGGAAATAAACCCAAATCATTTAGAAATCCTGCCCTATGGATTTTTTTAATTAGAAAACTGGAAATACCTGACTGGACATGAATTGCTGTAATTATTTAGTAGTTTTCTGGAACCATTTTCATTTGACATTATCTTTTTATGCACTCATAAAAATATGGCTGCCATTGTAAAAAAGAGAAGGTAAGAGATGGGACCAAACTGTAGCTAAGATGTTTTTAAGACTTCCTTTGATTTCTTTTTTCTTTCTGAATCGCA